GAAAGTAAAATGAATTTAATTTTTTATGTCTGTTAGAGTTTATTATGAACAAAGTATGAAGATTTATGCTTAATAATTAAGAAGAAAAAAAGAAAAAAAAGTTTTTTTTTTAATTAGCTAATAAAAAGATAATTTGCATTCAATTCTTTCTTTCTTCTCAATAAAATTAAATTCATTTTATATTTTCCTCCTCAAATATTCGTTCTTTTGCATTCTTAAAATTTATAAAATAAAATTTAGAGGAAAAAAAAAACAAAAATTTTATTTTTTGCACAAGTTTTTTTTTTTATTTATTTGCTTATTTCTTGTTTTGTAGTATTATTATAGCAATGTTTATTATTTATCGTTTATATTTTTCTTATTTTATGATAGCATAAATTTCATTTTTAAATTTGTTTTTTTTTTTTTTTTAAATATATTTATTTTGAACAAAAGATATAGGATAAAAGGATGCGTAGTTTTAAAATTATCAGCTTTATGCTATTATTATTAGCCGAAGATAATATTCCAAAAAAAAAAAAAAAAAGAAATATAAATAAATTAATAAATAAATTTCAGAGTAAATTTTTCTTTTTTTTCTTTTTTAGTCTAAAAATTTGTCATAGAATTTATAAATGATAATGCATTAGTGAGAATTTTGCATTTAAAAATTAAAAATATTTTATTTATTCATTTTTTTTTTTTTGCATATCTTTTATATACTAAAATTTAAAAAAAAAAAATTTGCTATCATTCAAAATAATATTTTATTCGTTTAATTAATTAATAATTAATTTAATAAAATATATGAAAATAATAATTCTTTGTTAATTTTTGATTACAATAAAGTAATTTAATCGCTATTTTTTCTTTTTTTTTGTTGATAAAATATTATTATTATCATATCTTTACTTTGCAATTGATACTGATAATAATAATAATAATAATAATAATAATAATAATAATAAACAACGATTATTTTCTATTTTTTTGTAAAATATTTTTTTAAATGTATGTTACAGAGAAAAAAAAAAGTTAGAAAAGAAAATAAAAGAAATAATTTCTTTACTATTATAATAAATTTAAAAAAGGAATTAAAAAAAAATGAAATATACCTAACTTTTAAGCATTATTAATCAATCAAATTTCTATTATTCAATGATATCTTTCAAAAAAAAAAAAAAGAAAAAGGAAAAGAAAAAGGAAAAGAAAAGGAAAGAAAAATCGAATTGAAAGGAAAAAAAAAAGAAACTAGGAGAGAGGGAGAGAGAGAGAGAGAGAGAGAAAGGTACAAAAAGGAAATTTAATGTTATCATTTTCAAATGATATTAAAAAAGATGAAAAGTGCGACATTTTGAGTGGAAAAAGAAGATAGGTAACATATTATTGTTCAATTTTTATTTTAATTATTTTTAAAAGACAACGATGTAAATTTTATATTTTTAAAAGTTTGAAAATTGAAATTTTTCTTTGTTTTTGTTTTTGTTTTTTTTTTTTGTCATTCATACCGAAATGTATTTGAATTCATTTATTTTATACAGTAAAGTAGTATATTTGTGATAATTCTAAGTAATATCTCAAATGCAAACATGAAAAAGTTTATTTTCTTATCTAATATTATCATTGAAAAAATTTTTCTCTCTCAAAAGAATATAAAAAAATAATAGTAATTATTAATTAACAAAGTTTTAATTAAATTTAATTTATCTCTGATATTACTTATAATCGATAATCTCTACTCTTCTAATGTTCGATAAAATATTAGACAGCATGCATGAAAGTATGCATGTCATTTTGCATGACAGCATGCATGCCATTTTGCAAGAAAGCATGCATTGTAGACTATTTTTATATGCAAAAAAAAAAAAAAGAAAAAAAAGTTAATTAATATTGTTTGTTTTCAAAATTGTTTTCACAATTGATCTATTTATGACCTAATTTTGATCCAAAAAAACTTATCTCTTTCATAAATTTTGAATGAATGCATAAAATATTTCTTATTAATTAGTTATTTTCAAATAAAAATTCTTTACGTATGAATTTTATTGTTGTTTGGTGATAAAGTAATAAACTGGAATAGTTGATGGAAACAAGAAAAAAGATGAAATTAGGGAATGAGATTACTTATCTTGCTAGAGTAAGTAACTCTAGCAACTTATTGCTTATGCCTACTTACTTACCTTGTTAGAGTTACTTATCTTGCTGCAGTTATTTACCTTGCTAGATTTATTTACCTTGTTACAGTTACTCACCTTGCTAGAGTTATTTATCTTGCTAGATTTATTTACCTTGCTACAGTTACTGACCTTGCTAGAGTAAGTAACTCTAGCAACTTATTACTTATACTCACTTACTTACTTTGTTAGTGTTGCTCACCTTGCTAGAGTTACTCACCTTGCTAGAATTATTTATCTTGCTAGAGTTACTCACCTTGCTAGAATTATTTATCTTGCTAGAGTTACTTACTTTGCTAAAATTAGCTATTATATTCATTTGTTGTTCTAAACAAAAATCATTATAAATTGACGAATTATATTAAAGAATAGTTTGCATATGAAATTATGAGAACAAAGATGAAACTTTCTAATAAATTAGATTAAATTTCATGCAGAGAATAAAAAGAAAACATATGAAAATGATATAAATTGAGCGCAAAATAAAATTTAATTAAAAGTGATAAGTGATAAAAGAGCAGAAATAGCATATCATTTCAATTTATCTAATTAGATTACCAAGTTTTTTTTATTGATTATGCAGTTCACTCCTATTTTTTTGATTAAATTTTATAATTTAAACAATTAGGAGATGAGTTACTTAATAATAATAAGGCTTGAGTTACTTGATAATAATAATATCACTTACTGATTAGTGTGAATGAAATTTTATAGGTGATAAAAAATAACTGTTTAATTATCAGTTATTAATTTCTCACTTGTACGTTATCATTCTTTTGATTTATTATGCAATTATTAATTTGCATGTTATCATTTTGTTTTATTCTATCAATTTAAACTGCTTAAGATTTTACTAAATATCAGTATCATAAAAACTTCTTTATTAATAATTAAAATAATATTGATAATCTTTAATAAATAAATAACTAATCAATTAATTGTTAAATTAATCAATCTTATCAATTGATAAACATAATCACTATTGTATAATTTAAAGTATATCTCAGATCTGTAATAATTCGGAAGCAAAAAAAAAAAAAACCTTCAAGGCAGAATTTTTTTTTTCCGGAAAACAATTTTCTCAATGATTTTCTTGAAAGGTTAGTTAAAACGGAAAAATGTTATTTATCATAACAATAAGAGGAAATAATTGATTAGAGGGAATTCTAAATATTACCTGAGAAGTATATTTTGAATTCAAGTACTCAATTTTAATACCATTTTAGTTCCAATTCTAGCAGATGCTGATGTATTTTATTTTTAATTACTAACATATATGATAGCTTTAATTTAGTTTATAAATATAAATGACTGAAATAAAATTGATTAAACTAGAAATTAATTGAATTTGTGTGCTTTTTTTTCTATTTTTTTTTTTAATACAACAAAATTTAATCGCAAAAAAATTTTTTTTTAATTGGAAAAACTATTATTTCATAGCATATGAATTATCAGGAAAACTTTGCTTTATGTTAGTCTCATATCCTGTTCAATATTTCCGGAAGTTTATGCAAAGATGTGAACCATCTGATAACATTTATTATTAATTAATTAAATTCCAACATTCCATTCCATTCCATTTTATTTCATTCCTTTTCTATTATTACTCCCTTTAACAAATAAAACTATTTATTTACTAAATAATATTTTCATATTTCTTTTCATTCCAATTTGCATTTAATAGTAACAGATTATTAATTACAGAAATTTATATTAATGCATTCGTTATTAATAATTTTTTATTAATATCATTGAAAGTTTAGCTTTTTCTTTTCATCATCCCTTCTTGTTTATTTATTTGTTTATTGTTAGCAGCCAAAGTTTTAGTTGTTTACTTTTTTTTCTATCACTTTATGAAATAATATTTTTCTAGCTTTTTCTTTCCTTCATCTGTTTTTTTGTTTAGTTGCTTTGTAATTTGTTTGTTTATTGTTAGCAGCCAAAGTTTTAGTTGTTTACTCTTTTTTTTCTATCATTTCATGAATTTTTTTTTGTCAAAAATTTTTTCAAAATAAAATTTTAGAAATGTTTGTGTCATCAATACACTTCTGAGTGCATCTATTTGTGATAATTGAAATTTCAATCACATTTTTTCTATTATTAAATGTCAAGTTTAATTAATAAACAAGTAGTGGACAATGGCTAATTATACTCGAAGTTTGCTATGTGATATTTGCATTTTTCCCTTCCTTTTTCTATCCATAATATTTTGTGGAATGAAATTTTTAAATCATTTAAAATTTTCGCTGTATTTGTGGTATAACACAAATAGCAGTGTAAATTTTGATGAAAACTATTTAAATTTAAAAATTAATTTACATTGTGCAATAAAATACAGAATTTATTTGATGTAAACATTAAATTCATTTTATAATTAAATATATTTATTGATTTGTATTATCAAAAGAAAATTGAAATTGGTGAGAAATAAAGGAATTAAAGAGGAAAATAAATTTGCAAATTTATTAAGGACAGTGAAAAAAATTCGATTTTTCATCTTATTTGATTCAAATAGTTTTATTCCATATGAAATTCTATTTTAATGTTTATATTCTAAAAAAAAATTTTTTTTTTTTTTGTCATTTCATTTGTTGATCAATACGCTTTGTTATTTTAATTAATTAAATTTTTGTGATAATGTTAACGATTATTATTTAATTTAAATTTAAAATTTTTCAAAAAATTTCAAATTGTTGCTTATTATTTAGGCATAATTTCGACGTATTTAATCTAAACAATGGCTGATAAAGGCTATTATTATGCTCTACGACACAAACAAAATTCATATATTTGATTTCCAAAAAAAAAAAAAAAAAAAAAAAAGTAAGAAAAAGAAAATAAAAGAAAATGTCACATGGAAAAGATAGCACTGTGATGCAATCACTTACTGATTCCAAAATTGGTTTGTTAATTTAATTTTATTTTTTAAATATAAAATGGAATTATTGCAATAATTTATTTTAATTTCTATTGTATCTAACTGTACAACAATAATTATGTAAAGTTTAATGAAGTTTAGAAATATAAAATTTATGTAAATTATGCAAATTTTAAAAATAAAAACAAATTATTACTAAATATGAAAATAAGAAATGCTAATTTAAAAAGAAAAAAAGTTATTCATTTGTTTCATTTTCAAAATAATCCTAAATATTTATTCAATTAATTATTTTCATATAAATTAAATAAATAAATGTAAATATATATATGTAAATATAAAAAAATAACATCCAAAATTTTACTATTTTCAATATCCATAAAATAATTATAATTTATAATTTGTTTCATTTGTAAAAATTTTACATAATTTATATAAACTTTACATTTCTAAAATTGATTAATTTACATGCATATACCATTTATGTTATTTTATAGATATTGAAAATTGTTAAATTTTGGTACAAATTATAGTTTAATTTATAGATATTGAAAATAGTGAAATTTTATACTTTAATTTATAGATATTGAAAATAGTGAAATTTTGGAAGAAATTATAGTTTAATTTATAGATATTGAAAATAGTGAAATTTTGGATGGTATAGAAGAGGTAGACGAGAATAATTCATCAATTTCGTTTCATTTTTGTGGCTCAGATCCAGTATATCAGGCTTATTTTATTCATATGAATGCTGGCCGTTTAAAGGTTTGTTACATATTTCATATTTACTTAACTTATTTAACCAATCATTTACTGTAATTTTTTACTTAGACAAAATGCAGTGCTATAAGTTATTAAAACAAATAATTTTTAATTTATCTTTAGCTAATTTTTTCATTTTTCATAAAAACTAAAATTAATTTCTAACTCTAAGTGTTATTTTAATGTTGTCATATAAATCTAATAGCCATATAATTTCTTTTTTTTTCATATATTACTAGGCTTTTGCCATAGCCTAGGCTTTTTTTTTTTTTTTAGTAAATGCCAAATGTAATAGCCTTATGTTTCAAGGCTATAGCAAATTTCTTCATTTTTCAATATCCTCTAGCAATATTTGTTGATTATTTAACAAATATAGCAGTTATTAGTCGAAAAAAAAAATAAATGTTTAATGTTTATTAGTATCGAAATTATTTTTCACATTTTATTTAAAATATTTGCAATAAAAAAAAAAAAAAAAAATGAGAGAATAACTAATTTTTTTTTCTCTTCTTTTCCCTTATACACACATTCCTTTAGGCTTTAGTGCCATAATGACATAAAGCTTATATTGTCGTTTGATGAAAAGCCTTAAAATTATATTTCAATTTAAAAAAAAAAAAAGAAAAAAAAAATGGAAAGAATTTCAATCATTCAAATTTTATTGTAACAAATATTAAAGAGAGATTAAAACAATTACAAATTGCAAGAAATGATATAAGATTGAAGCTTGAAAGAAAAAGTGCCTAAGAAGAAATTCATGAATAAAATTTAAATTTATTAAAGAGTGTAAAAAAAATTCATTATTAAAATTTAAATTTATTAAAACTAACAAAAAAAGAGAAAAAAATTGATGAAGAAAAATGTTAAAATAAAACAAAAATTTTTTTCTTCTTTTTATATTATTTAAATTGTAATAGAAAAAAAAAAAGTGAAATATTTTAGAATAAATATAATAAGTTTTACTATTCAATCGAAATAACTTACAAATAAGCATATTTGACAAATAATTTTTGTCCAAATAAATTATACTAAATAAATTTTTGACTAAATTATGGTTTGTTTTTGTAGTTCTTACTTTTAATTTTCCATTCATCTTTTAATTTTAATTTTTTTATTTTTATATTCATTTTTTTTTAATTTAATTTTCAATGTTTTCAAGCATATTTTATCTTTTAAAAACAAAATATTCACTAAAAAGTAGGGAATAAAAATCATTCCAATTTGTCCTTTTTTTTATTTATTGAAAAATTTTATCAAAAGTTTTTTTTTTTTTTTTTTAGGAGTTTAATTTAATAATATTTCAAACTTTTGATGATCTTTTAATTTTTGAGCGCACTGTAAGTTACATAAGTATGAAAACAAATGAAAAAGAATTAATTAATAAATAGTTAATTAATTAATAGTTAAAGGTTGGATAATTTTCAAATCTGCCAATAAATATTTAAGAAAGTTGTTGAAAACTTTTTTTTTTTTTAATATAAAAACTTTGCATACAATAAGATACAATCTCAGATGTATTATATTTTGATGAAATGATAAAATTTTATGCAAAAATATAGTACCTAATCAAAAATTTTAGCAATAATAATAATTCTAACCTAGGTAATTACTAATTTTAGCTAATTTTAATTTTAACTATAGCAATTACCTATACAAAGAAAAGAAATTAATTAATAGATAGTTAAATTTAAGTATAACATTTGAATAAATGTAGTCTAAATATTAGTTAACTTGATTATTAATTCTAATTATTCATCCTGTTTGTTAGTTTTGTATTTAACAAATTTTATTTATTTATAAAATATTGCTTTGCATATATGTTTATCAATTTTATTTGCTATTATTGTTTACATAATTAGATGTTGTTTACATCGCTTTATTGATTTTCCTTTTCTTCTCATTTGATCAAATTTATTTCATTTTTTTTTTGTTTTGAAGAGAAAAATGAATTGAATGATTGTTAAAAGTGCTTAATTCAAATAATTCTAAATAGACTGCTAATTTTACTTTTTTTATAAAGTTCTTCTATTATTTAATCTTCATTTTATCAGTAAATTATGATGTAATTTCAGGTTATAACTTGACTATCCATAAATTTCAACACTTTTTCAGCTTTTTCTCTCCACTAATTAATTAAGTATTAATTGAAACAATTGAATTTTAATAACATTTAAGGAAAGCTTTTTTGCTGATTTTTCAACAATTTAAAACATTTCAAGGATTAAAATTTCAGTGTAATTACAAATTCGTTTATCAAATTTTTCTTATCATTTTTTCCTTTTTTTTTTTTTTTTCAGGCGTCTTTGACATGTCTTCTTGGTTTGGCAATGATTGAAACAATAATAATAGTACTATCCGATATTTGGTCTGTAGCTATTGTACTAATTCTTGTTGATGCGCTCATTGCTGCATTACTGTTGTGGCGGAAGCGCAATTCGTTCTTACTATCGTGGATTATTGTTGGTTGTAGTATGGTATTATTAATTACCGCACCATTAATTAACTTATTCTGTTTTTCATTACTATTACTATTTCTATGCTACACCTTACTTCCACTTCAATTGATATATTCGATGTTGACAGCTCTGATTATTACCATCACAACAATTATCATTTATTATTTAAATTTAACAAATTTAAAAGAGGTAAGAAATGTATAAAAGAAAAGAGCTACGAAGAAAAAAAAAAATAATTTAAATAACAAAAAAAAAAAAAAAAAAAAAAAAAGAAAAGAATTAAAAGAAAATGCATTGTTAAATTTTTTAATTTTTTCATAGGATTATTTATAAAATTTGATTAAATTAAAATAAATTTCACAAATTTCAAAAAATTAAATAAATTGTGCAATTTAAAAAATTACAGAAAACTTTTCAAAATTTTTTCATCTAAATTACTCGTTAATTGAAACGATATTTAATTATACCAAAAATTTTCAAACAAAATTTTACTCTTTGTTTTTTTTTAATAGTACAACAAATGATTGAAATTTAAATCAAAAATTAATCCAGATATTTGAAAGTTATAAAATTATACCTTCAAATTTCCCTTTTTCACCAATTTAATTATAAAAACTGATTTCAATTAAGCAAAATTTCCAGCAATATATTTTGAAATCATTTTTTAAAAAAAAAAAAAATTAATTAATTCTGATGAATAGGAAATTTTTAATAACAAAATTTTCTTCTTTCATTTTAATTTAAAAGAGATAAAGGAAGGAAGAAAGGAAAAAAGAAGGAAAAAATTTTCAGGCATATAGCAATGCTTTTGATAAATAATTGCATAAAATAATATCCAAAAATTTTGTCGTTTTTAAATTTAATTTTTTTTTTAAGATTTAATTTTTTATTCAGGCATTAATCGAAATACTTCTGTTAATTACAATGAATCTTATTGGCTTATTTGTTTACTATCCAATGGAAGTTATACAACGAAAAACTTTTCATGAAACAAGGTTCTTTTTCGTTTTTTTCTTTTTCTCACTCTCTCTCTCTCTCAAATCAATTTTTGTCACTTAATTTCAAAAATTTTTGCATTCATTTCAATTTCATTGCTATCTGTTACTAATTAATTTGATAATACATAAGTTAATTAGTTTAATTATTGCTTTAGTAACATATATAGATTGATTAGTTTGATTATTAATTAATGGCATGTTGATTGGTTTGGTGGTAGATAAAAAATAAATGAGTTTCTTAAAAAAAAGCAATGAATGCCAATTTCTAAATAATTTTCCAAGTGTTAACGAAATGATAAAAGGAATGATAAGGTGATAAGAGAAACAGAAGAGAAAAAAAAAAGGAAAATTGCTATCTTTTAGGAAATGTGTTGAACGGCGAATTTTGTTATTGCGAGAAAATATCAGGCAGGAAGATATTTTACTATCGGTACTTCCACGACATATAGCTAATGATGTTCGAAAAGATAGAGCTGCAGAAGGACAATCGGCGACAATGTTTCATAAAATTTACATACGGAAACATGACATTATCAGGTATGTCCTATTTAACCGGAAAAGTTTTCTAATAGATTTGTATTAGTTTATTAATTTTATGATAAATTACTTAATTATGGTAATAATATCACTGAAAAAAATTGTATTTTTTTATATTTTTTATAATCTTTAACATTAATTTTATAAAAATAAAATAAAACAATAATTTTATTATGATAAATTATTTAATTATGATAATAAAATCATTAAAAATTTGTCAAAGAAAGTTACAAAATGCTAACTGAAAAGTATAAAATTTGCATCACTAGTTGATAGTAATATAATTTTTTTTTTTTCTATGTGTTAAAATAGTTTCAGTCTATCTGATATTTCATTTACAATTTTTCTTTCAAATTTTTTTCAAAAATGTTTTACTCTTCAATTTCAGACAATATTATCATTTTTGGAAAATTTTTCAAAATAATGTGTCATCAATTCTCTGAGAATTCTTGATTGAAGTTATCAAGAATTCCCAGAGAATTGATAAATTCATGATAAGACAAATTTTTCACTATTTAAAAAGTCAACTTCTGATACTTTTTTTTTTTTTCATGATATCAGCAAGTATAAATTTTAAAGTGGTTTATAGGAATAAAAAGATTTAATTAATAAATTTGTTAGAAAATTTTGAAGCTATTATGAAAGCTTATGCAAATTACAGTATACTTTTTGCGGATATTTGTGGTTTTACCAACTTAGCATCGGAATGTAATGCAGATGAATTGGTGCAATTATTGAATAATCTCTTTGCTCGTTTCGATCATTTAGCATATCGTAATCATTGTATGAGAATAAAAATTCTTGGTGATTGTTATTATTGCGTTTCCGGTTTGCCGGATTATCAACCAAATCATGCGCAATGTGCAGTTGAAATGGGATTAGAAATGATTGAAGTGATTAAGTAAGTGATTTTTTTTTTTCAATGTTTTATCAATTATTTCAATTCTATTTTAATTCAAATTTAATTTAACTTACATAGGCAGCCATTCGACTTGACAATTAATAATTGCCTAATATAAGTTAAGGTAATAGTTATACAGTAAGTAATCGATAATATGTTATACTGTGGTAATGATTGTTTGATAAGCATGACAAACTGAACGAATTGACATTGTTTATTCTTTTCTAAAGAAACACAATAATCAGTGAGAAAATTGTTATTATTTCAAAACTGAGCAAATTTAACTGATCAATTTTCCAGATGGATTTATACTAGAAATGCACTGATTCCAGATTATCAGAGAATTGATCATGTTAATTGTTGTTTTAGTTAATCATGATTTATTTCATAATTTGTAAGTAAAATTAATTTGCATTAGTTTCATTTACAAAATATAATTTACTTGTAAAAAGGTAAATGCAGAGAAGTGATTAATTATAGATTAGTAAGGGAAGTAACTGGTGTTAATGTAAATATGAGAGTTGGTATTCATACTGGTAGAGCTCATTGTGGTGTACTCGGTTTAAAAAAGTGGCAATTTGATGTATGGAGTGATGATGTTACTTTGGCAAATCATATGGAAAGCGGTGGTTTACCTGGGTAAGTTTGTTTTTTTTTTTGTTATAATTTTGTTTGTGGTTTTTTTTTTTACTTTTGGACTGAATAACATTGATAGATAAATTGATAGCAGTTTGAATTATCGATTATTGAAGCAGAAATACATTAGAGTTTTGCATCAAAATTAATGTTTTATATTTATTAAATAGCTCTAATACAAAGATGAAAATAGGATACGGTATTTGATACGGTATTTACATAAGCTATACGGTAACCGTAGTTAATAAATTGATTAAATTGATTGATTAATGAGATTTATTTCAGACGTATTCATATAACTGATGCAACATTAAAATGTTTGGGTGATATTTATCAAGTTGAGGATGGTTATGGTGAACAACGTTCAAAATATTTAGCTGAGCATAAAGTTAAGACATATTTCATCGTTGATGATGATAGTAAACATACGGTATGGATTGTAAAACATTTTAAGTATTTAAATTAAAATCAAATAATGAAATAATAAATATACAGTTAGATTAATCAATTGATAACTCTTTTTTTCCATTTTTTTTTTTTTTTTGTGTTACTATTCTATTTTATAATCATAAATATATTTTAAATTTATTAAAATGTTTCAAAATGATCAGTTATCATTTTTTGACTTAGATATTAATTTATAGGAAATTGCATCACATCGAGATGTACCACTTGGTGAGAAAGGCCTTCGGGTAACTGGTTATAGCTATAAAAATGCACAAGTAAGATATTGGGATAATGTAACGACAAGGTTATTCAGTTTTTTTTTTTTTTCTTCTTGTTTTAATTTTTATTTAATCATTTTTTTGATTTCAAATTTCGTAGTAGTTTATTAATTTTGATTTTAAATTTCATTTGAAATTTGATTTCAAATTTCGTAGTAGTTTATTAATTTTGATTTCAAATTTCGTAGTATTTATTAATTAATTATTTGTTGTTTCATTTTAAAATGCAATATAACAAATTATCAGGGATTGTTCTGATAAGTCAATTTTAGTGTTTTTTTTTTTTAAAAAAAAAAACTTTTCAATTAATCTAAAACTTATAAATTTACTTAAATCAATTCTGAAGAAATAAATTTAGACATATGCATTAAAATAACATCGGGTATTTTAAAATTAATTGAAAATATATTAGATATATTATGAGTATTACAAATCATTAGTATGAAATAATATTATCAGCAAAAATTGTAATCAATATTCATCCAATATTTTTCTTCATGAACAAATAATTCCAGTTTAGGCGATCAATATCATATCATGAACAACAACAACAACAACAACAGCAGCAACAACAACAACAATCTGTAGATATTGAAGTTACAAATTATTTAATGCAAGGTATTCGAGCAATCAGTAAAGATGCCTGGAAAAATATGTATTGTAAAATGATTACATTAAAATTTCGGCGCAAAAAAATGGAAGCTAAGGTATGTAAATACTAATCATTGAAAATTTAAGTCTATTATTCATATCCGTTTATTCTACAAATATTTAATTTATAAATGAATATTTATACATAAAGTAAATTTTATTCTAAATTAAAGCTTAAAATTTAAAATAAATTAACGAAAAAAAAATTTGGTTAATAACTGAGAATTTGAGTCTATCATCTGATTATAAAAAAATATGATTTATTGAAAAAAAGACAAAATGACAAAGAATTTTCAGAGTATTTTATTCTTTTTTGTTATAATTCCGTAAATTTATTTTTGACAATTATAAACTTTTTTAAGAAAATTTAATTATTTTTACTTTTAATTGCAAATTTTAATCAAAATTAGAGGCCAAATTATCACTAAATCCACCTTATTATGTGTTCTTTTTTTCTTTTTAGTTTATGGAATTCAAAGATGACGCATTTCTTACCCAATTAATGTATGTGGTAGTTGTTGCTGGTCTTCTACTATCCGTTGTACTACTCCTTGAAGATCATAGGTATTTATTAATTTACAATTCAAAATAATTTTAAAAATTTCAATTCAAAAAGAGACTTAAAAAGAAGAAATATATGAAGGATTAAAAATTAAAAATAAGTAAAGAAATGCAAAAATTAAGATTGCTTTTAGATATTTAAAAATGCTTTGAAAAATAACATTTAAATTCGATATGAATTTCAAATCTCTACGGCAGAAAGTTTGGGAAAAATAAAAAATTGACAGTTAAAAAATAAAAATTTTAAATTCCTTCTTTATTTTTTCCAAAAATCATAATTAATAAGGAATTTTTTGATTTCTTTTATCCTATCACAACCGTTTAGAACTAAAACATTTCCAAATATTGTCATTTCAACAGTTAACCCAAATCAGTCAGTCACTCCTTTGTATATAATTAAAATCGCCATTAGATTAATTTTTCATAGTTTACTTATACATTTTTAAAATCTCATCGAATTTAAGTTGAAATTTTTCTTTGCAATTTTTTCCCTTCATGCATTATTTAAATTGATATAATTGCAGCCTATTTATAGTATCTCTCGTTATTATCTTATCATTTTTATCAGCGTTGGTATTATCCATTTCCCTTATTGTTCGCTCATTTATGGTATGAATTTTTGTTCAATTTTTTTTTTTTTTTTTTTAAATGGTTTTTGTTCATTTCAAAAATAATTGAGATTTACTATATAGCTTCTTTTAAATTCCCATATGGCCAATAATTGACAATTGCAAATTCATAAAAGGATTTGACAGCGGTCACTATAAATTAATGTTTTATTATCATTTAAATATTTGCTTTGCTAATTCAAAAACATTTAAGCACATTCATTGTTTAATTTTATCTTAGCATAACAGCAGATAATTTATAAGTTGTCAATTAAAATAAGATCATTTTGAATGATATCTCTCTTTAAGATACTTATAAAATTAAACTATGAATGAATTTAAATAGCTTTTTTTTTCCAGAAACGAACAAATTTGATTTTATCTACTCTTGCATCTACTTCTCGAGTATTCTCAATAGTCTATCTCATTATCTTACATTTTGCATCACTTATTTTTATCTGAAAAAGAATCAAGAAAATTTTAATTAAGATAATATAATTTAGCAAATTGTTCACATTCAAAAATAATTTTTCAAGGCAAAAATTGACGTATAACTTTCGTTTGACGTTTTTTTTTTTCCTTCAATATGAGCTTTTAACGTGAATTTCCGTGTGATTTTAGTGGAATTTTTTCAGCGTTGCTGCCAATATAAAACGTATAAAAACAGCTTTCTAAGATTTTTTGCAATATTTGTACTTTTATCATCTGCCATATGCTTCTTTTTCAATCGTTCTGTGGTAAGTTTATGCTTTTTCTTTTCTTGTTCTGTCATTTTATATCGAAACAATGATAGAGAATTATGATAGAGATAGACAATTTCTATCAGTGATATTTTCTGTAATAAAAATAATTATAATAGCAGTAATATAAATAATAAGAATAACAATATTAATATTAAATAATAATAGTAATGATAATAAATAATAATAGTGAAAGTATTACGCAAAAATCAATTCTTTCCCTAATAATTCTTCAGATGTTCATTAATTGGGTTAGTTTATTTAATGAATTGAAAAATTTGATTTGATATAATTGAGTGAATTTAATCATATAAACAACTGAAATCAATGAAAATATATTTTTCAGAGAACCATTAACAGAAATATTGCAGTGTTGTAAATAAAATAATCTTATTATTTAATTTTTTTAATAAATAATTAGTTGTCTATTTAATTTGTAAGTAGCAAAATTCAAAATCCAAAAAAAAAAAAAAAAAAAAAAAAAATCGTTAAATTTAATTGCAATTAATCTTTGTTATTATGCAAAATTAAACAGTAATAATATAAAAGAGCTATTTTAATTAACAAATGTTAAAAGTAAAAATTTGATAACTGAATTAAAATATTTTTGCAGCGTTATTCGCTTGAATGTTCCTATCACTGTAGAAATTCAACAAAAATAATTGCAACAAGTTGTGATCATTCTGTGAATAGTCCAATTTATTTTGAGGTTATTCCAAGAATTCATCCTTTCTTTGCTATTAAATTTCATTTTTAATGAAAGATTTCAATAAATTCCTTGATTATCAATTAAATCAATTCAAATACACTACCTATCCATTGTATTTGAATTATATTTCTTTAAAACGAAAGAAAAAACAGAGTAATAAGTGAGAGTAATTTATCAGTGTGACAATAAATTTCATTTATCATTGCTATTTTCAGGGTGTTTTACTGTTACTTTTGACAATTTGTATATTTAATTCATTTCTTGCACTAGAAAAAATAGCAGTTTCATTGATGATTTGCTTGGTTATATTACTTCTGATATGGTTAACTGAGTTTCCCAATCACAGTAATTATCAGTTTGCTTTTTGGAGCAATCGAAATTTCTCCAATCAAAATATTTCACTAATTGAACAAATGGAAATGCTATGCAGGTAGTTAACATTTCTTTTTTTTTTTTTTTTTTTTTTTTTTTTGCTAATTTAAGTATCTTTTTATCATTTTTTCTTTTTTAAATTTTTTTTTTTTTAAAAAAAAACATTTCAGTTATTTTTGTTACTTACATTTTATTGAAAAAGTTAGTGGATCTTTTTTCAATTTTTTTTCGAAAAAATTTAAAATGCTATAAAAATATAAATTAAAGCAATATTTGGCCATTTAGAATTTTTTTTTTGCTTTAAAATGCTATAAAAATATGAATTAATAAAATTATTTGGTAAAATTTTTCATATAAGGTAGGCATTCATTTTTTTTGCTAACAAAGGCTTACTGTTTTAATGTTTTTCATTTTTTCACTTCTTTAAAATGCTTTGGGTTATTTAAACTGGTCATGCCGTAAACAGTTATCAAATTGATAACATCCATAAATCCTAATCACCTCGAATCGATAGTCTCTGAATTAAAGCTCCCCGAAGCAAAACTGTCCGAATTTTATTTCTTGCGCATATGTTTGTATTATGTATGAAATGGAAGGATTTATTTTTCGTTTTTAATGAAAGAATGAATTAATTGAAGTATCGTTTTAATTTATTTGAATTTTATTTGGAAGCTTTCAGGTGACTCCAGTAACTGTAGTAAGTCCAGTAACTGTAACTTTGAACTTGATCTATATTAATTAAATAATTTTTGACTTCAACGAATTTATGAAAATAGAATTTACGATAATACACTTTTAATTATAGCCAAATGAGCCTATGGAATGATTTGCGATTATTTTTCACTCTTGTCATTATACTCGTATTCATTTTAATTACAATTCAAAGCCGTCGATCAGAACTGATTGCTCGGTTTGACTTTATTTGGAAGCTTCAGGTGATTGAATTCTTGCAACTTTTAAAGTTGTTAGAAAAATGTTTCTTTTTTTCGACGTTATTTTGTTGTTGCGCTTTATATTTTTCTATTTCAAAATATTAATTTCTTTTTGGGTTATTATAGGGCTTATCAATATTTATCAGTAAAATATTGATCATATCAAATACAAGTTTTTCAGGCATTAGACGAAGGAAAAGAAATGGAAAAAAGACATGCGCAAAATCGAGCTGTTTTAGAAAATATTTTGCCAGCGCATGTTGCCGAATATTTCCTTAAAGAAACTGAAAGGTTACTGTCTAATTTAAATCTCTGTTATTCAAGAAAAAAAAAAAAACGCTGCTGGAAAATTAATTGTGAAAATTGTTAAGAAACAGATAGCGAATAATTTAGAAAGTATCATATTGATAAAAAGTAATTCATGCTAACATTTTATTATTAAAATGCTTTATTGTTTGTATGATGGTTTTATTATTGATATAGATTTGATAATTACTATTAATTACAATCTAATTTCTATTGAAATATGTAATTCCTATTATAAATTATTTATTAACAATGATAAGATGTGAATATTGTAGGGCTGAATTGTACTCAGAAGCTCGAGATAATGCTGCAATAGTATTTATTACAATTACTGAATTTGATAAATTTTATATGGAATTGGATGCTAACAATGAGGGTGTTGAATGTTTACGACTTCTTAATGAGATTATTGCGGACTTTGATATGGTAATAGCATTTTTTAAATTAACTTGTTCATACATGTCAGTAAGATTAATCGAGAAATCATTCATGGATCCATTGCATTTTATGGTTGATATACCGTAATTGAGATTAGCAGCGTAATTGACATTTGCATTACAACAGGATGAAGTTTGCAATACTGTAGAATGAAGACGTCTGCAATACTGCAGGATGAGGACGTTTGCTATACTGTAGGATGAAGACGTTTGCAGTACTGTAGGGTGAAGACGTTTGCAATACTGTAGGATGAAGAAATATGATCGGACTGGAAATGAAATCATTAGTTCAGGTTGCAGTAATCGTCTACTCATATGAGTAGCTCAAATTTGTGTTTCAAATTTAATTATAATGTGATATTATTTAGTTAGAATATCAGAATTAGAAATAGAAATAGTTCAGAAAGTGGTGTTTGTTGTAATATATTAACTTCTCCCTATTGTTTCTTCACTATGAAATATTTTAATTTATAGGAAGAATTGAATTTGAATGAAATGCCTTTACGTCTATTTTATCATCAGCAAATTGTTTTCTAGCTTACACATAATTTTTGTATGTTTAGCAAAAAAAAAAAATGCATAGGGCTACTGTAATCTATCCATGGTACTGTAAAAACCACCGTAACTCTCAAGATTATGTTTTATTCACCTTTGATAACTATCATTTCGTAAAAATTTAACAAAAAATTGGAATTCCAGCAACTCAGTCGTGATGAGTTTAAATGCATTGAAAAGATCAAAACAATCTCGACTACATATATGGCAGCATCAGGCTTATTTGGTAAAGTAACCGGTTATTCACATGTTGTCGCCGTTGTATTATTTGCTATTCGCCTTTTAGCCCTTATACAATATATCAATGAACATTCGTTTAATAATTTTAATCTTAGGATAGGTAATAATTTACCTTTGTCTTTCTTTTTTTCCCTTTGATTTTAATTTTAAGCTTTATGTATTAGTTTTTGATAAGTATAATTTAATAAATTAGCTAAATATTATCAAATTATAGGCATTTTTCTTTTCTTTTAAAATCTTTATTTAGCTTGAAATATTTTTAGAGAATTTTGTCGTCAAAATTACTTCAAAAAAAGTTTGTCCTAAATGCAATGCTGTCAAACATAAAAGAAAAACATTCTATTTATTTTAGCAAAATGTTCTGAAATATGAACTAGGCTTTGAAAAGGTCATTCTTGTCCATCATAGCATTTGAATACGTCATTCATTATCCTTAATTATTTACCAATATTTGAGTAAGAAGCTCATCGTACCATCTGAATACATCACTCATTATTTTTTAATTGAAATAATTTCGGTAGATATTTAAAGTAAATTATAACTTTTATTATAATAATTGTTTAAATGATTATCTATTAATTACCGCAATGTATTTTTACAAACTTACCTTTACCTGTATTAGAGAAGAGATGATATTCTATTTTAAGGCATTAATGTTGGTCCGGTGGTAGCAGGTGTTATTGGTGTCAAGAAGCCACATTATGATATTTGGGGTAACTCGGTCAACGTTGCTAGCAGAATGGATAGTTCTGGTGTAGCGGGCAAAATACAAGTAAGCAATAATGTTAGAAGAGTTCTATCAATTTTCTATTCTAATTTTTTCAAAATTCATGTGTACATACCTAACATAAAAATTTGAATTAGAGATGGTTGGGAGATATTGAAAAAAGATTTGAAGTAAATTAAATACAAATAATTTAAAAATAGCTATTATTAAAATCTTTCAAATTTTGAAACTTTTCTCAAATTTTAGATAACGGAAGAAACGAAAAATATCTTAGAAAAAGAAGGCTTCGAGTTTGAATGCCGTGGAATAATTAATGTAAAAGGTAAAGGTGATATGAAGACATACTTCATTAAAGTATCAGAAGAAGACTTGAATTTTGATTTTAATAAGATCTGAAATTTTAATTTCACGACTTCAAATCCTATTTGGGTTTGACATTTTATATTATTATTATTATGTATCGACAGTGGATTATTTTGTACATATAATCATTTTTTCCATGTGAGATTTATAAAACGTATATATATATGAATTTAATTAAATTCAAATAAATGCCAAACACTACTAAGCATCAATATTTTCTTCAGAAAAGGTCGGTAACATTAGTGATTTAATTTTTAATTTGCTTGAATTTTGTTTCTCGATTATGCTATTGATTGCATGGCATTGTATATTTGTTTGTTTTTTTTTAAGAAATTTAATTTATCTGATTCATAAAAACAATTTCTATAATTTAAAAAAAAAATAATTTTCGCAGTTATTATTTAGAAAAATACAATAGATATTTTTCAGTAAGAAATGAAAGAGCTTATGTGGTAATTAAATATTTAAATAATGATCTATAAATAAAACTACTTGTAAACTAAAAAGAACTTTCAATAGACTAAGATAAAAATACCACTGGAAAGTGAAATATATTTAATCTGGCTTAACGTGAATGTATATATTGATACGTTTAAGTATATAATACGTACAAAAACGTGTATATGTGACACGCACAAAGATCCTGTGCATGTGATTAAATATAAAAATATTTACATATCACTTTATTGTTGTTCGCACCAATAAAAAAAAGCGTAATAAACGCTGATAATATGATATTTCATTTGTGATTATTATAATATCTTTTAATTAGGATAGTTTTTTTTTTTTTTTTTCTTTTAATTAGCTTGCATTGAAAAATCAGTGCTAGATTATAGAATATGACTAGAATAACATAATTGAAAAGCTGATTATGCGATGAGAGTTAGAAATTTTAACATTTTTTAAACATAAACATTTTACATTGCCCATGTATTTTGCATGAGCAATGCAAAACGAAATTTGAAACCAAAATGCCTTTTTATAAAGCTGTGATGATGAATAAACATTGATGGATCTGTTAATAACAATTTTAAGGGAAATAAAATGATTGCATCATAATTGTCCACAGAAAAGACTTTTCGGCAGTGAGATAGAGCAAGATTGAGAAAGGAAAAAATACATTTTATTCCATTTTCAGTTGTTCATGATAGCTTCCAAGACTCGAAAATGGTCGTACATTTTCCTTAATGAAAATTCGTCGCGAAGTAATGATAATAAGACTAACGATAAGTGCACTCAGTGAAGAGAATAACATAATTGGCGCAAATATCGCTAATCCAAAGAGAAATGAGGTGACTGAAACAAAAGCAAAGTGTGAAGAGTTCATTTCAAAAACCAATTCATTAATCTTAGATACAGAGTTAGAGGATAGTTAAATGATGGTCTAAGTATGGTATCGTTGAAAATTTTAAGTAATTATATCTCCTACCACTGATAAATTATTTGACGATTAAATATTGCTAGCATTTTTGTAAAAGCCAATTTCATCTACAATTACGGCGAAAATTTGATAATTGACAATGATGCAAATATGTTGGTTAATTATTAGCCGAGTAATTAGGACAGATATTTAAAAAAAGAAAAATGCAAGAGACTTACGTTGTACAAGAGCAGCTGACGAATAAATGACAATGCTTGATATGATAATATATAGTGATAACAATAGAACGGGAATGGCATTAAATATTATCATTGTTTTAATCAATATAGCAAATCTCCAGTCTAATTCGTCACCAAAAATAACAGTTGACATTGCTGCAAGCTACAATCTCTACTTACGTTACGTAAAAGTAAGCTAATGAAACGCTGATTAAATTAGAGCGTCATCTGATGAGAATTTATTTATTTTTGACAAACAATATGAAAAAACTGGAATAATTAATGATATTATGTCTTGGAGAAATTACGACGTTATTAACAGTAACGAAATTATATTGAATTTCATATTTTCTAATTTATTTTTAAAAATTGAAAATTGTTAACCTTACATATAAAAAATATGCATGGAAAATAATGGAAATTTCTATGTAACGAAAAGAATTAGATGCAATTTTAATTATCAAAATTTAGAAAAACAAAAAAAAAAAAAAAAAAAAGAAAGAAAAATCACTTTATTGATGTAAATGTAACCCACGGGTAACTTCTTCCATATTTATATATGTAATCAATATTTTGCAAACATTTGACAGATATGTAGTAACCAAGGAAACGAAATTTTCCTTAGCATTGGTGATGAGGAAAAATGGTATGTATATGTAATCTTTTCATTAACTTCAAAATCATCCTGCATCGCTTAACCTCTCTAAAAACTTTAATATTCTTGATTAAAGTTATTTTTATTGATTCGAATTATTTGAATTCTTAAATAATCAAATATTGATTGATTTTAAATTTGTAGTAATAAATTTTAATTGTGCAGTCTCTTTTTCTTTCTTTCTCTCTCTCTCTCTCTCTTTACTTCGTTTTTAGTGGTTAACTGATTTGAATTAAATTTTTAATTTTACGTTATTTAGGAAAAATTTTAATTTCAAAATAATTCTCTCTGTTCTTCTCGCATTTTACTCTTCTCTATTTTTATTCTATGCTTAATTGTCCAAATTTAAATTTTTTATCAAAAAGAATTATCAAAAACTAAATTAATCAAAATCACATTTTTATTTCAAAAGTTATTTTCTATTTTCAATTAAAATAATAGCTATAAAAGAAAAAAAAAAAAAAAAAAAAAACATTTTCATACCGATTTGGTAAAAATTAATTGCATATTTATTATTAACTGTGCTTTCTTTAGGAGTTTTCTGTAAGTCTTAGTCATTTTCAGATTGATACTGATAATCTCTGATATTATTGATAATTTCAAATGATAACAACAATAGCTATTGAAAATATTCAGATTGACTAGAATATTTCGTATCTTCTGATTGATACTTAACAATTTGTTAAGCATTTCTGTTTAAAATTTGTTAAAAAATATGATAATTTTATTGCTATTTTTGTTATTTTCAAAAAAATTTAGAATAAAACATAAAATTTCAGCAATAATTCCAACATAATAAAGCAATAAAAGAGGTTAAAATCAATGTCAGACAAAACTAAGCCTAAAAGCAGAAGCAAATCAAGAAGTAAGGAGCACAATGATAAAAGGTTAGATTTCATAGTGATTATCAAATGATAATTTAATTTCATGTGAAAAATAATTTCAAAATAATATAAAAATAAATGATTATCAGAAAAATGCTTTGTACTTTTTTATAATATATTTAATGATATTGCAATATTCAATTTGTTTATTGCTATAAGTTTGTTTAGATTAAAAATTTATGAAAATAGATTGATAGGTTTTAACAAATTTTATAATTCCAACATAATAAAGCAAAACAGAGGTTAAAATTAATGTCAGATTTTTTAAAATTATTATAAAATTTAAAATTATTATAAAATCGATAAAAGCAATTAAAACATGGAGTGAAAAGCGCTTTTTTTTTTTCATTTTTGATTTGGAATTATGATATTAAAGTTATCTGAATTGATATTTTTTAAATTTGGTTTTAATTATTACAATTAATAATATTGCTATAATTATAATAAAATTTGTTAGTTTAGCTGGAAGAAAGATGAAAGAAGCAAAATACAAATTCCAACGAAAGAATTAAAAGAAAAAAAATTGAAAACAACTGGTAAAATTGCAGCAAAGAAACAAGAAGATAATGAAAGTATTGACAAGAAGGTTTTTTGATTTCTGATTAGTTATTTAACTTCTTACCTATTAACCTATTTTAATTACTTAATCAAGTATTCAATATTCATCCAAGAGTAAAATTCTAAAATATGAAAGAGTATTAGTATTTAAAAAATTTTGAAATTACAACAAATTTAAAATTATGTTTAATAATTTTAATAATAATTTTAATGTTTCAAAAAAAGGGAATAATTAGTTTTATAGAAATAGATTTAGCTAACTGATGAATAAATAATAACAGCTTTTCTGATTGGTAACCATTTTTACTAATTTTTAAATTGCCAATGTTTATTTAAATATTTTGTAACAATTAATTTAAATTGCAGATTGTCTTACTTACATTTCTAAAAATGAAATTTAAATGAAAAATACTAGCAATTTGAACAATTCAATACACATAAAAAACACAAATAATATTAATTATTATAACTTTTTCTATATAAATAAATTTTACACTATAAAATTTGCTTTTTAAACTTTTACATAAACTTCGAATAATGCATCAAATTTTATGACTTTTTTTTAAAATTACCACCAAAATGAATACTGTCAACATTTCAAAAATATCTATGAATTAAATAAGACAAACGAATGAATTTAATTACTGTGAAATTTTATATTTTATTTATTTTTTTTTTTTTTTTTTTTTTTTTTTTTAAATGAAAGAAATAAATTTCTGTCAATTTGGAGTTGTCTCGTTTTTTTTTTTTTTTTTTTTTTTTTTTCTTTTAAAAAAGAAAATCGAAATACACTAACTCAGTTTGATTTAAATGTGATAGGATATGAAAATGCAATTAGCTTATGCTGAAATATTTCAATTAAGATATTTTAAATTTAGGAATTTCAAAGATTAAAGAAGAAAAATGAACGAAAAATGGAACAACGAAGTGTACATTTATCTAATTCAATCGATAAACTACGACAACCATTATCATCTAGTAGTAGTAAAATTTTAAAACTAAATTCAACAAATATTCCAAAACAGTATCCGGAAAAATTTGCTATCGATAAAATGGAAAGATTGAAGTCTGCAAAAGATAGCGGTGAAAAGGTACAACGATTAAATGCAAAAGATATTCCAGAAAGTAATAGCGACAAAATGCGAAAAATACGAAGTGATAAAAATTCTAGTAATCATATCATCGACAATTCAATTGATAAAAATGGACGATTATTGGTAGCTGCAAAAAGTTCAAAGTTGAATTATCAAAATTTGAAAAGATCCAAAATGCTACTTCCGGAATGTTTTCCAATACCAAAAGTTTTGCCAGCGTCTTCAAGTCATATCGATGAATATAACTATGAAGAAAGTATTTTCGAATACGTATCAAATTTTTTTTTTTTTTTGAATTTTGATTTTTGAATTTGAACTTGTTATAATTGCTAATAGAATAGATTTTATAGAAATAAGCACTGGAATTTTTATTATATTTTAATTTAAATAGAAATGTTAACTAAATGAAACAATACGAGAGGGAATGTAAAGGAGAAAATGGAATAATTTGATAAATTGAATAGAGTTTTTCATAAATAAATTACTGATTTTTTTTTTTTTTTTTGAGAGTAATTAAGGACAATTTTATTTGAAATAACTAAAGAATATGCTAAGAGAAAGATTTGATGAAATATTTGCAACTATTTCAGGATGATTTCGAAGATTATTCAGATGATTTTGAGGAGGACACTGAAACTGATAATAATAAAAGCGAAAGTTCAGATCGAGAAAGTAGTACGGAAAAAAGTAATATCGGTAGATCCGATAAGATAGTAAACAACGAATCGTATGACAATTCACCTTTGCTACGTCGTATAATGAATCATCAACAATCTGATAACTCACAGGTTAATTTCTAACACTACACTAAATTTTTCTATTTAAATTTTAGGGAAAGAATATTGATAAAAATTGTCGAGAAGCAATTGACAGATAGAATTGAAACTTGACAATTAGTAAAATTAATTAATTCGAACAGAAATCTTTAGAATATATTAATATAAACTAATGTATTTAAAGAAAAAAACATGTCTATAAAATGCTTTGATATTGAAATTAAATGATAATTTAAATGATAACTTAGCATAATTAATCAGTTAATGAGTGATTCTAATTTCCAATGTTTTATTGATAATGTTAAAAAATAAAAGGGATGTTCAATTAATCGCAAAAAATATTTCAGACTAATTCATCAAATACATTTTTTATTCATTCATTTAATCTCTTCCACAGAAAAATCATACATTTTGTTTAAATCAAAGTAAAAAAAAAAAAAAAAGAAAAAAAAAAAGTAAAAAGTAAGAAGAAAAATTTTGATTAAAATTGTCGAAATGTATGTTCAAATAGAATTTTAAACTTGCCAATTAATAAATAAAATTAATTAATTTCAATTGAAAATCAAAATTAATTCAATTAATTCAATCATCTTTCAAAAAAAAAAAAAAAGTGTCTATAAAATACTTTGATGTAATTAAATGATCAAAGTTTTTTCAAAATTCAAAGTTTCAAATTTCTAATCAAACATGATGACAATTAAAACATTTTTACAGCCACAATTCACGCATTCTTCTGATTTGACACAGCGAAAAATTGATTTTACAAATGCTACAACAATAAATTGGGAAAAAATTTCTGAGGTTGAACGACGATATAAAATGCTCAAAAATTTAATTGGTATAATTTTTAATGATAATTTAATTTGGTGGCAATTTTAATGATAACATTTTAATAATTTGATAATAATATTCAATGTCTCATTTCAAACAATTTCATTTCAGAAAGTGAGAAAAAAAGTGGAAAAATTTTTGCAAAGAATTTATTTAAAATATATTTTTAAATAGGAATGGAAATTGTGCAATTTGATTTATTGGATCATCATCGAATTTGCGCGCATGATTTTTATGCGCAAATGTTTGGTAATACCAATTACACTCAGGTATATAATTCAAAAATAAATAATCTTAGTAATATATAAAAAAATAAAATTTTACATCATCCACAATTTACTAAATTTATGATTTATTCATATTTGATTTTACAAATTTCTTTATTTTGGACAGAATTAAAAAGAGAAATTCTTATATGATGCAATATATTGTAAAAAAAAAAAATAAAAAAAATCTATCAAGTAAAATAAAACAGCAATATTTTTCTCAAAATTTGATAAATTAATTTAACTAATTTGATAGCATGATTGACTAATGTTAATAATTTTTGTAAAATCTTAGCAACTCTAAACTAATTAAGGAAAAGCTAAAAATTATAGTAAAAATTATTTGGCAATTTATTTGATGCATTGTATTTTCTGAATGTAAATTTGCAGGTGCAAACACAAACAGGTGATGATGACTTGAATTGTTATGTACAAACAGAAGAAGTGGACAAGGAGACAGTATGGACACAAATTCCATATTCAGGTATTTTTGGATGAGTTCATAGGTCATTTATTTTCATGAGATAATACAATTATTGTTATGGTTTATTGTTTATATAAATCTAAGGATTGCTAATGTCAAGAATTAAAAAAAAACAAAAAAAAAAATGAAAAAATATATCAAAGGTGACTAAGATTGTCACAGCTAGTTAAATAAATAACTCAATTCCAACAAATTTTTTAAAATCGTTCTAATCAATCGATTAAACTTTTTAGACTTCTACAAATTTACTACGATAAATGTATGTATATGTTTAAAAAAAAACAAAAAAAAAAAATTATTTGATTGATTTAGATCATCAAGATTGCGGTGTAGTGAGTATTTCGAATGATATCGATTATCACAAACATTTTGATATTGATGATTCTGAAATTAACTTTTTTAAAATCGGCCATTTTGAAATGGAAAAATTTCGGAAGTTTATTTCTATTGCTGGACAGGTGATTTCTCTTTTTTAAATATTGATGAACTAACAGTTATATTATAGTAATTACAAATGAGTAAAATTTTAAATGAAACAATAATTGCTCTATAACTAATTTATTGGCTAGAAAAAAAAGAAGAAAAAAAATTAATTGTAAATTTAATTGCAAAATTTACAGCTAAAATCTTTTGCTTACTTAAAAAAAATAAAACAGCCAAAAATTTTATTTTCAAATATTTGCATAAAGCTAAAAGTTTCATTTTTATCTCATACAATACTAATTAATTAAGCTGAAAAAAATGCGATAAATTGTCACTCATTCAACTTAATAAATTTAATTTTATATGTATTAATTTAGTAATTTAGTTAATTTTATTCATATTTTTTAATTTATCATTTAATCTGTTAGCTTCTTTTGTAGGTTTTTATTGATATAATGCAATCATCATCAAATTGTACAGCTAAACTATCATTAGAATACCGTACGTCGTCATTTAAATTTAGCACAGGTTATAGCAAATTTTTATTGGGTGACTTTATAAATTGTAAGTTTTCTTTTTCTTTTTTAAAAATGCAAAAAAAAAAAAAAAAAATTTCCATTTTAAAATTTAACTAAGACAAAATGAATTAGACCATATATTAAAGCTAAAATATTTCATCTTTATTCTTACCTCAAACAATAAAAATTTCATTGTTAAATAATTATATTTGGAAATAATTAGTAAATAAATGAAATAATTAATAAAATAAATGTCAAAATTTGAGTATAATTTTCAGCTGCTAAAATTACAAGTATATTTCACTGGGAGAATCATTTGTTTGTGGCATTTTATATTGAACAAACTTCAAATGATGATATGATCAATCGGAATATTATTATTGAATTCGATATTTATAAACCAAATATTCCTCAAAAGTAGCATCATTAATTAATTATAAATTAAACGAGAGTAATTTTGAACCTAATTGAATTATTTTAATAAGCCAATAAACAATTGTTGTTTGTAGCAAATTTGTTGATTTGTTCAAATTTTTTTTTTATTTTTTTAAATTAATTAAAACTTTCAGAATTTTACTTTGTGAAAATGAAGTAAAATGTCTTTGTACATCACCGGATGGAATCAGTGCTGTGTTTGTTGGCCTGGCAAGTTAGATTATTATTTCATATTTAATTATACTTAAGAAATAATCTTTTTTTAATTTGATACAGCAAAACTAATCTAATTCAAATGAAATTCAAAAAAAAAAAATTTCTAGAAAGCATAGAAAGATGAAAAAGTTACCGCTTAGTTCTGTACCAAAAGATTTTGTATTTAATTAAAATATTATTTACTTGTAATCATGATATTTAAATTTGTACGTAATTTTGCTAAAAGTTTAATTAAACAAAATAAGATTTCAATTTGATATATATTTTAGAGATATTCTGATTTTATATTTGTTTTTTTTTTTTCTTTTTTCTTTTTATAGATTTAATTTAAAAGATTTATAATTTCATTAATCTGATAATTTTATGAACAAATGAAATTATAGCAATCAATACATTTTTTTCTCCATTTTAACTTTGCTTTTCCTAATTTATGCAAATTAATTAATTAATGAAAAATAATTTTTTTATCTTTTGATAATATAGAATGATGGTAGTTGTATGGCATACGATCTCAGAGAACAAAATTCATTGTTTACAAACAAATTACGATGGCATCAAAACGGTGAAATGTATCCGTTAAGGACGGCAGCTTATGATACTTCCTTTAAGGCTTTCAATAAGAAAGCATTTGAGGAGGACAATCAATTTGCTATTGTTGCAATTAGCAATATTCCTTCTAACATAAACAGGTGATTAATTAATTAATTAATTTTTGTCGTTAGTTTTTAGTGAACTTTGTGCATTTTAAAATATTTACAAAATGATCATTTACAATTTTTGCAATTATAATAATTTCAAAACTAGCATTAGTATTCGTTTCAAAATTTAAATTTCAGTTCAGAAACATATCAAATTGTTAGTGTTAACGAAGCTGGCATTGTTATCATATGGACAATAATTAATGAAGAGTCAATTCGAATAAATGATCATGATCTTGGTTTACGACCTGGTGCACAATTAAAAATGGCGCAAACGTCGATAATACGACCTGATAGAATCCATTTCAGGTTATTTTGTTGTTTAAGCCTTTTTTTTTTTTTTTTTTTTTTTTTTTTTTTTTTTTTTTAATATTTTATCTTTTGCGAGTTTAAACTTGAAGTATTTCAAATTTTAGTAGTTTTATTAACAGAAACTGAATGAAAAAAAAATTAGAGTTGTACGAACGAATTTTTATTTGTTTGTAAACCAAAACCACAAAATTTGGTTATGTCAAATATTTTTGCTCTTTTTGCATCTGTGATGATAAAATTATCCAATGAGAATAATTACAATTTCTCACAGTTCTTTTTTTTAAAAAAAAAAAAAAAAATATTTTAAATTTAATTTTTTACTTTCAAAGTAATTTAAATTCATCACGGAAGATGACTGTTAATTGTATGGTAATGGTACCAATCAATCCAGCACAATTTTTTCTTGGTACAAGTCGTGGCATTATCATCAATTTCATTTCAAACAAAGCAATCAAATTAATTGGTCCACGAATATATCGAAATGATTTCGGTTGTTAAAAATTTTTATTTCGTTTAAATTTCCTTTTTAATTTTTAATTTTGTTTTTTTATTTCTATTTTCTAATTTTCATTTAATTTTGCTAATGTCAATGAATTTATTATTTTGCTATTAAATTTTTTTAATATTTTTTTTTTTTTAAAGTTATGAAAGTATTTTTATAGTGGTTGGTAATTTTTGAAAATTTATGTGAAATTTTGTTATTATTTGCTTCTTATAATAAAAAAAAAAAAAGTGCAAATTTTTAGATTTGGCAACAGAGGTGATATGTATTAGTTTTTCTTTGGAATCAACCTTCTTTTTGGTATTTTATTTGCAATTTTCTTAAAATTTTTCTCATTATTAATGATTTTAATCATATCTTTAACTTATAAATTCCTCGCCTAACATTTTACTTTATATAATCATTAATTTTCAATTTATTTAAATTTAATTTTTATATTTTTTGCTATTTATTTAAATTTAATTATATTTTTATACTTTTTTATATTCATATGGTTAATTAGGTTGGATTCTCGAGTGGTCACATATCATTATATGAAATTTCTAATGCACAACCGATTTTAACTTTTGAATCTTCAAAACAAGCACAGCAATCATTGCTACGAGTACTCTTCTCGCCAAGGCTTCTTTCGTTTCCATTTTATCATCAAAATTAAAATCAATAATGTTCTCCTTATTTTTGATGATAAAAAATATATGCAATAAATTGTGAACTTTTAATAAATTCAAAAAAAAAAATTAAAATTTTTGAATTGTTCTAAAACTACATTTGAAATTTGAAATAAAATATTTCTCATCTAATAATGCCACCGTTAATTTCTTAATTCTTTTAGTAATCCATCCTTATTCTACACAATTCATAGTCATGGTTTATTACTAGTATGGGATTTAACCAAAAGTAAGAAACCGGAATATATGGATGATCTAAATTTGAAAGATGACTTGGTGATAACAAAAGCTGAATTACAAATCACTTCCTCAAGCAATTCATATACAAATCTTTTGGTTTGTAACGAAGTTATATTAATAACATTTTGAAAATCACTATTTTTAAAAATCTATCTTTAGCGAACATTTTGAAAAAAAAAAATACATCAGTTTTCATATTTTCAGGCAATCGGTTTCAGTAACGGAGAAGTACAGTTGCATGATTTGGCCATCAATCGTGATAACAGGAAAGGGAATAAATCGTTATCAAATGTTATCAAAGCATTTCAGTTAGAAATTTAACAAGTAAAAAGAAGAGTACGATAGAAATTTTTGCATGTTAAATGATAAGAAAAGAAAAATCGTTTGTTAAATTTTGAAAAACAAAATGAAAAGTGTAGAAGTAATTAATTTGTAATTTTTAACAAAATCACAACTTTTAGCAATATTTTTATATGGTTAATATATGGTGTGACAGTTGATAATGTCATCACATCTATTTGTCACAACATCACTTATCACCGCACTCATTCATTGCAATACAGGTTATCACTGCACTTACCATTTATCACATCACAATACTAGTTATCACTGTACCTATCTATTACAATACAAGTTATCACCGTACCTACCAGTTATCACATCACAATATTAGTTATCACTGTACCTATCTATTACAATACAAGTTATCACCGTACCTACCAGTTATCACATCACAATATTAGTTATCACTGTACCTATCTATTACAATACAAGTTATCACCGTACCTACCAGTTATCACATCACAATACTAGTTATCACTGTACCTATCTATTACAATACAAGTTATCACCGTACCTACCAGTTATCACATCACAATATTAGTTATCACTGTACCTATCTATTACAATACAAGTTATCACCGTACCTACCAGTTATCACATCACAATATTAGTTATCACTGTACCTATCATCCATTACAATACAGGTTATCACCATACTTACCAGTTATCACTGTACAATATTAGTTATCACTGTACCTATCATCCATTACAATACAGGTTATCACCATACTTACCAGTTATCACTGTACCTACCATCCATTACAATGCAGTTATCACCATACTTACCAGTTATCACTGTATCTACCATCCATTACAATGCAGTTATCACCATACTTACCAGTTATCACTGTATCTACCATCCATTACAATGCAGTTATCATCATACTTACCAGTTATCACTGTATCTACCATCCATTACAATGCAGTTATCACCATACTTATCAGTTATCACTGTATCTACCATTCATTACAATGCAGGCTATCACCGTACCTACTAGTTATCACATCTAATTATCATTGTAACCACCCATTACAATACAGATTATCACCTTATCAATCATCGCAATATCTAATGGCACAATTACTTGAATTTCTTGCATATTCCTGAACATTCTTGCAAACAAAAAAAGAATTAGGAATTACTAGAAGAATTGAGAAATAGAAGAGAAATGACTTTGTGATGTTTAGTCGATCAAATATATCCAACAAATTCAAAAAGCTATATGATGTAAAATGTTTTCCATTCTGTGATAATCTAAATATCTGAAAATGCAAGTAATTCATATCAATCATTAATTATTAGACGAATGTTATGATGAAAAATTGAATTTGTTAATTTTGATATTTCATAGCTTTTCATTTGATTTTTTGTTTTTTGTTATTGGTTTGAATAGATATAACTTCATATATTTGCCTCAATTCAAATGATTTACTGCAATTTACATTCACATTGAATCTTTTTGAATTTCTTTTTCAATTCGTCGAATGATTAAAAAATGAAAATGAAAATTTACTGCATTGAAACAAAAAGATTTTAAAAAGTCGATGATAATTTTAACAATTTCTGCCAATTTAGATTTTTTTTTTTTATTCATTCAATATTAAGTTAATCATTCCATTGCGAGATTTTCATGAGATTAAGCATTCAGGAGTATGCGATGAAATGATATTTGTAAGGAAAAGCGATTAATCTTCAATTATTTTTGGCTACTTGTAAAAGATTATAATTGCATTTGAAATCATTCTAATTAAATCGATGAGGAATCTTTCGAGAGTAACTTGAATTAACCAAGGAAGTTAAATTCAAACCGACCATTTGTCTTACAATTTGAAAAAAAAAAAAACAAAAACAAAACAAAACAATAAAAGTTGCAAGACACAATTCGAGAATAAGTGATGTACCGAATAGTGATTTAATATTATTGATCGATTATTGATTGATCGAATGATCGATCTTTCACTTACACATAATTTCTGATGATTTCTTCAATGAAAACAAACAATAATTTTTGCTTTACAATAATAATCAATTTTCATATTAAATGCATGAAGATATGATTTTCCAGTGTCTTTTTTGATAGCAATTTAAATTTTGTTAGTTTAAATTTTATTATTTATGTTTATCAAAAAAAAATATTTCCTTTATTAGATCAATCAGCAGGTGAATTGATATGATCAGCATTTTTTGGATGAATTGGCTCATTGATATTTTATAATTTTTGCTTCTTATTTCAAAACGATCTTTTAATGAAGCTTTGATGATAATAATAATAAAATAATGGATGAGAAATCATTAGAAATTTAGTGAAAATATTGAATTTTTTTTTTTTGGAAATAAATTAATTTCCATGTGCTTATTGTGCTTTACTGTATAGTTTTAAATAACTGCAGTACAGGTAAATGCATGCATGCATGCATTTACCTGTACTGCGCTATTGTTGCAACAACATTTTCGTTTTATTTAATTTTCGAATCAAAATTGATATTTTTTATTGGTCACTCAAAGCTTAAAAAATTTTCCTCTACAAATGGCTTTTTTATTTTTAAATTTAAGAGTTCAAAATTCGTCTTCAGTGTAAATTCATGATTCGTTAATTGCTAATAATAGCTTTTCAGTCCTTTTATCTTCTTACTCTTCCTTGATAACATTTAATCAGCTCCTGCGTATCAGATAAATTGATATGTTAATTTTGAGTCAGTTTTAAACCAGATAAATTAATTTAATGTTTCCTGAAGCGATAACAACAGATTGAAAGAATTAAATACTAATATTTCAAATCGTTTTAACTGATCTCAGATGCTACTGAAAACATTTGTTGATTATTGAAATTTGAAAGCTATTTATTAAATTTACCTCAGTCAATGGAAATTCTATTCTGCTTTTTCTTTTCTCTTAAAAAATTTTCAGCAAATAAAATGCAGTTATGTCTAATTTAGGCTATGTTTATTAAATAATTTCTCTTTTTTTTCTTCGATTTCAATTTGATGTCTAAATATTATCTGGTGGTTGCTTTTTGAAAATTTTTCGAGCCATTCGAAATTCAATAACAAATAGTTGGTTTAACTTTTTTTTTTTTAATGATAGGTTTTATGAATACATTTGAAGATTGTTTATTTAACTCAAGAAAACCATAAAAAAATTTGAAAAAGTTTAGCAAAGATTTTGTTTAAATTTAAAAACTTCGACTTTTTCATTTTTTTAAATATTGAATATTTTGCCTATAAAACTGAGTGGAAATTTTATACTTTATTACTAATTATTATGCATCAATAATGTAAAAACAACTGTGATTTTTTCTTTCCATTTTCGAATGCTTTCCTTCATAATTCCTTCATTTTTTTCACTTTTACATTTCCTAATTGATTTCTAAAATTTTGCTTCTCACAGATTATACAAAATTTTTTTGTTCAAATTATCTGCTAATTGAACAATGCAAAGGAAATTTAATTTTTATTTGAGTATCAAATGTGATAAATTCGAAATTTAAATCTAAACGTTCAGAGTTTGATGTTAGCTTTGAAAATTGATTAAAATCTACACGCAAAACAGCAATAGCACCTGTTTATTTTGCTATGAAAAAAATTTTGTTATGGAAATTTATTTGCTTGTTCTGATGAAAATCAGGGCTTATTTTTAAACTAAAACTTATGTAGGCGATCATCCTGAAAAAATGATTTCTGAGCATATTTTCTCTATCTTTTCTTCTCGTCTCACAAAAAACGATAAGGGAGTGATAAGTAAACCGATGTATGATAATAATAAACATTTCCACTAGCATGTTTCTTTGATCTAATTATCCATCAAATTCCAAATTCCTGCCACACAAATATCTTTTTACTTTTTTTTTTTTTTTTTTGTTCTTTCTTTCGAGACATATACTTTTGGCATACATATATTTTCCTCCTTAACAATTTCAATAAATGAAATCGATAATTAACTGATTACTGACTTTTTTACTCTAATTAGTCAATTCTCTGTCATATGATTAGAATAAGTAAAAAGATTAATACAAATATTAGCTGTCATTTTTTTTTAGTTTATTCGATTTTATTTTTGAATATATTATTTCGCACTTCAAATTTTACATTTGAATATATCTAACTATTTCAATTATTTATTTACATAAAATTTTGCAAAAATTTGAAAATAAATTAGAGCGGAGCTTCTTAGCTGCTAATAAATGTTGAAATGATGCAACATTAACTGTCGATAAATGCAACAGTCAAAGTTTGATATATATTTGTTTACAATGATATAAGGAAATCGACCATTTCTTTTTTTTTTTTTTGTTTCACTTTTTTTTTTTGCCAGACAATTTTTTATTTCCTTTTAGCATTTTCTATTGGTTAAATAATTTCTTATTTGTTTGGTTTATTTGTATTTAAAACACATTACAATTTTATTTTTAGAATGAAAAAATTCAACAAATTTTTGTGATAAATTTTCAAATGAATAACAAATTTTTATCTGTGAAAATAAATATATATATGAGAAATTATTCCTATGTTCAGTTGAATGTAAAATACTACAAAATCTTGTATCAACTTATTAGAAAATGAAAATTACTTCCTTAATTTAACGTTTTTTTTTTTTTTTTTTTTTGATAAGAATATTCTTCAAATGTAATTGTCCAAAAGACTTTTCGGCAGTGAGATAGAGCAAGATTGAGAAAGGAAAAAATACATTTTATTCCATTTTCAGTTGTTCATGATAGCTTCCAAGACTCGAAAATGGTCGTACATTTTCCTTAATGAAAATTCGTCGCGAAGTAATGATAATAAGACTAACGATAAGTGCACTCAGTGAAGAGAATAACATAATTGGCGCAAATATCGCTAATCCAAAGAGGAATGAGGTGACTGAAACAAAAGCAAAGTGTGAAGAGTTCATTTCAAAAACCAATTCATTAATCTTAGATACAGAGTTAGAGGATAGTTAAATGATGGTCTAAGTATGGTAGCGTTGAAAATTTTAAGTAATTATATCTCCTACCACTGATAAATTATTTGACGATTAAATATTGCTAGCATTTTTGTAAAAGCCAATTTCATCTACAATTACGGCGAAAATTTGATAATTGACAATGATGCAAATATGTTGGTTAATTATAAGCCGAGTAATTAGGACAGATATTTAAAAAAAGAAAAATGCAAGAGACTTACGTTGTACAAGAGCAGCTGACGAATAAATGACAATGCTTGATATGATAATATATAGTGATAACAATAGAACGGGAATGGCATTAAATATTATCATTGTTTTAATCAATATAGCAAATCGCCAGTCTAATTCGTCACCAAAAGTAACAGTTGACATTGCTGCAAGCTACAATTTATAGTGTAGCAGAACAAAGTAGTAATTATCAGCACAAGGTTAATTTTTGAAAATCCTTTACAGATTTTTGAGAATATTAGACATTTGTTGTGTATCATATACATTTTAATTTCTTTTCGATTACTGATTCGGTCTCGAGGTATGAACCATTCAATTTGTTCATCTCGTCACTTGCTGGAAATGCCAAACAACAATATAGTAGGAGCAGTTGTCTGCTTAACAACTTTTCCTATAAGTATAAATTGATCAATGTCAATGACTGTTGAACTATTTGAAGCATAATCATATTTTATGTGCACTGTTTAAATATCTTATGGTTGATCCAAGTTGCATTCAACGAGAAAATCACCAGATTTTGCTGCTTATATAAAATTACTCTGATAGTTTACAATAACAAGCATAAGATAAACATTAGGTAATAAGTTACTGGTAAGAAACAAAAGCATAAGTGCAAACTAAAATGTATATGACATTTTTTTTTTTTTAGAAATATATCCTAGAATTAAAAAAGCAACAAAAATATCAAACACGTTCGTCATAAAAATAAGAAGAGGTAGATAAAATAATCACAGAAAGTATCCAATTGAAATTTTCATGCATATTCGGCTGTAACACATAATAAAACATATTAAGTCATTAATTTTTAATACCATGACAATTATAAATTTCATGATGAATACAAATGAGCAAAAAAATAAAGTATTCACAAATGGTATATCAAGAAGAAATTTAGCAACCGGAGAAGCTACTTAGTAAGGAGAAAAAGAAAGAACTGAACAAAAGACGAAAAAAAAAAAAAAAAAACCGTAAAAAATAGTAACTGATGGGGTCAGGCATTTGTTTCAAGAAACAAAAATGTTAAAAGTAATTCTTATACATGTATTTACAAGAATAACAGTGCAAGTTTTTTTTTTTGAGCAAATTCGCATTCGCACTAATAATATCAATAAGACAACTGATATATTCTAAAAAAAAAAAAACAAAACGAGAAATAAAAAAAAAACCTATTATGTCTACAACAATTTATTATGTATTCTTGACAATTATCCCATTTCCGCCGGTATTTCTGGAATCTTACTGTTAGCAATTCGCTCAAAACCATTCATCTTCATTAATTTTCGACATATTGCAAGAGCTCGTTCTTCGTGCACAATATTGAAACAATCAGGCTAGAAGCAGGAAAAGCATTAAATTGCTTTCATTTTTATAAAGATAAAAATGAACTAGCGTAAACAAAATAGTTTTGCACCAATCTAATCAAAAAAAAAAAATCTCTGCCCGTGCAGCTTTAAGTGAAATAAGTATTTTAAATTACACCGCACTGAATGGAGCATATGGTAAGGAAGATTTTTTAATAGGAATACACATCAGAAACAGGTGATCATCGTAGTATCATTTACGATGGAGAAAAGATAATTTTTTTTAGCAAACTGAAATTCAAATGGTTTATCTAGAAAAGTATGAAGAAACAATTAGCAAAAATAGAAGCTATATACACCATTTTTTTTTTTTTTTTTTATAGCTCAAGATCCAATAAAAGACTCAAAAATGATCGTAATGATCGTTGGAAAAAACAACTATCTCATTTCTCATTTTAGGTTTAACTAATTTCATTCAAATATTTTAAATATGTGGCTATGTGAGATTCTTTGTGAGATTATATGTATTAAGATAAGATCAGTCATCTAAATTTTTTAACCATTTTTAGAATTAAAGAAAGCAGTATTTGTTTTATTATAGCTTACTTTATAAAAGTAATTATAATTAATTAAACAAAAAAGTAAAGGTCTTAGCTATAGAATGTTCATCGCAATATGAATAACAGCTAAATCATTTGAATCACTAAAAGCATACCGTCACTTCGGAAAGTGGAATTCCAAGTTCTTCATTTATTTCGTCCATTGTTATTTGATAATTCAGATAATGCATTATATCACGGAGAAGAGCATTTCCTGAAAAGAATTAGGTAGTTTTCCGAAATAGAAATTTTAAATTTAAATCAGATCTAACAATCAATAGACGCTTCATTCTAAAAGAACCTCAAATGAAAAAGTTTCACAGAATTCCAGAACCAACAAAATTAGTACTACAGATTTATCATACCATTATCATGCTAGAAACATCCAATTTCTTGATCAATGAAATATAATTTGAAATAATGCTTTCTAATTATTTAGAAGACAATATCAAATTTTAACAAAAGCTATAATGGAATAAACAATGATATAGATATGCTGTTTTTCTGTTGTGAAAAAGTTTTAAGTAGGCCAAAATTTGCCAAAATAACGAACCATTTTCATTTACGCTTACAAAATTACGAAGGCGCGCATTTGAAAGTACTTTTATACAAAGTTTATCCATTTCGTTGATCCACGTACCAATATCCTAAAATATTAATTAAAATATTAATTTCTAAAGATTTTCTTTCTAAAAAATCAAGTCATTGGTAGACATTTGAATTTAAAACAAAAGCGAAAACACCACAAAACTGATACCTTCTTGACAGAAATGTTGTTTTCTAGATTTTCTGACAATTTTGAATCCCATCCATTCATAATTCTGAAGCAAGAAAAGATTTTTGCAAGAAGAAATTAGAAAAATTATGTTTGTAAATAAAACTGAAAAAAACTGAGCATCAAAAAATTGAAGTAAAATTTAAAGATTTATATAGACTAACTGGTTGCTGATAACGAGGTGTGAACTGGAGCCAACATTGTTCCTCATCTGCAGATTATTTGCATCTTTTGTGTTTGCTAATTTCAGCATGACCAAATAACCAAAAATAAAAAAGAAAAGAAAAATTAAAATTAAAAAAAAATTCAAAATTTTAAATCGTATTCACTAAAACAGTAAAAATTAAACACAGAAATGAAAATAACCTTAGTTTCAATGTTTTGAACATGTAGCAGTGAATCACATTCCTTCTCCGAATAATCTCTAAATAAAATGAAATTTATTAAAATAAAAATAGGTACAATTCACTGCTTCGACAATATTAAAAGAGTCCATCATATATTTAAAAATATAATAATCAAATAAATAAATAAATATATATATATATATATATATATATATAAAATACAATAATCAAAAGATAGATATCTAAAGTAACCAAATATTGGAACTGAATCCTAGAATTATGTCTTGCACTGAAATCGTGCAATAGAACAAAAGATAAAAATCTGAAATTTCCAGAATTCTTGAAACCCTCAGTATGTAAATATTTAAATTTGAATGAATGAATTTTTTATATGATATATAACATGCTTGCTTAACTATTAAAAAAGGAATTAGGATATTCATTTACTTCAGTTTATCGCGAAATTCTTCCTCAGCACTTGCATTATCATTCTGATACTGATCGATTACGTCGTTATATTTTCCATCATTTTCATCCTTCAATAGTTAATTTATGCTATTTCATTTCTTTTGCTGAATTTTAGCTTTGATAACTCATGGATTGTCAACAAAAGCAATTAAATGAATAAATTAAAGCCATTTTCAAAGTGATTTTATGAGACTCAACAGCAAAGTTCTAAGTTATGAATTTAACAAAAGAATGAAGTACCTGAATTTCCTTCATTTCTTTTAATTTGTGTGTTAAATGTTCAACAAATTCGTCATCCCACACATCTTCCTAGAAGAAAAAAACAAAACCTTTCCTGAAGCCTATTATCTGCATTTTATAAAAATTTTTTGATACAATTATCAAAGGATATTTTTGTTGTAATAAGATGATGAATGGAAATAATCATTACAATAAACAGCAAACAAAACCTCCGAGTCTGCGTTTTTTTTTTTTTTTTTTTGGATAGATTGTTTAGTAATTCAAGTTGATAACATCATAATTTTGATTAGAAACAAAAAATTCATTAAACAAACCGGTTCTAATCCATCTCGTTTTGACCTCATGAATTCGTTTTTTGGTTCAACTGCAACACTATCTTTCGAGGAGCTAGCCAATTCGCGATCACTCTCACAAATCATAATCGTTTTATCAATCATTTTCAAAAAATTCATACTCACATGATATTATTAATCTCAGACTTAGTTATTTGCTACCTGTCAAGCAAACCTTCACCCTCTCTGCTACTTTAACCTACTATAAAACATCCAGTTAAGTTAGAAAAAAAGTATAAGAAACACCTTATTAAATTAGAAACAAAAGGACTGTTTATTACTGTTTAGAAATAAAACCTTTTCAGCAAATGAGTTGAGAGGAAATTTGTCACTAGAATTCAACTCATTGTCCAGAACGATAGAATTGAGTGGCTGGAAATTTTGATTCATCGAACAATTGCTATCATCCGATAATGAAACAAGCATTTTCGAAGTATTCGTCGAACGCTAAAATAAGAACAGAAGATAAGCCGCAACATATAATAATTAAAAAAGCAATTGATAAGTTGAAAGTAAAATTTTACAAAAAAAACAAGTGTTCCGAACAGAGGTGAAGAACAAATTCTTTAACAATAATTCAACCAACATTATTTTCGTTGCTTTCCGCAAATTCGGTAATGTTCCTAATTGGTGACCCCGAAATATCAATTTTTATAGTGGATATTTCATCGTCCTATCAAAAGGAAAAAAAATTTAGATTGTAAAGGTCTATGAAATTCCCAAATATCTAAGAAAAAAATTCAAATTCGCTTATTAAACAACTCATAATCACCAAAAGAGAATAAATAATAGCATTATGCAATTCATCAAAATTGTGTCTATCTCAATTTCCTCAGAAAAGGCTGAAAGTTTTTTACAATAAAAATACATATAATAAAATCAGTCTACGTAGAATTTTTAAGTAAAATATGCATCTCAACACTTCATCCAACATTGAAAGTGTGAAAGAAAACATTTCTAGGATACACTAAATGAATAGTGCTAAAATGCTATAATCGTAAATTCACTTATTTTAATAAATTGCATAACGTTTAACATCAGCCCTAAACTAGTATCGCTTGTTATTAAATATTAGCTCACTATTCTTATGCTTAATTTGAAAAAAAAAAAAAAAAAATAAAACTTACGATAACTAGTGACTGATCAGATACTATATTCAGATCTGCAAAATACTAAATGATAATAATAATAAATAAACACTGTCATCTATGATTTTTGCCTAATCTATAAGAAATAAGAGATAAACATTTTTTTTTTTTACTTTTCCATCAATATTTCTTACCTTCACAAGCATTACTGAACTGTTCAACTTCTGTACATTCAGCACATAATTCGAAACATCGTTTAGTTGTAAAGAAATCGTCTCTCTATCAAATAAATCTATCAGATTAAATTGAAAAGACAAGAAAATCCTGTGGGTTTAACAGAACTTCCATGTATTTCATACAAAAAGTAAAATCCTGCATTCATCAAGATCACATATCAATTTAATAGTAACAAAAGCAGTGTCCAGTACATTTTGAATAGATATAAATTCACTTACGATTCCAGCAACAGTATTACTATCAGTAGTTGCATAAATACCAATGCCAGAAGCATAATCATTGTATGCTCTGTAATAAAGAATCGATATTGTTGTACCGATAATCGGCTCAGCAGAATATGCTATATCCAGTAAAGTAATAGCACAATCTAAAAATTTTGTATGTTTTTTGTTATCATTGGATATCAATATTATTATAAATCTAATGTTTTTAGAAAACCAACTGGTTTACCAATACTCAATTAAACCTTATTATATTAATAATCATAGCAAAATCTATTATAAGATGAGTATGCGAGCTACCTCACAGTATGATCAAAGAAACTCAAAATTACCCGACACATAGACTCGACCATCTGCTTTTACCTCGGCTTTTTGCGTGAAAATTAGCACTTCAGATTGAAATACACTTTCCGATTCAACACATATTTCCTTAGCCTGAAATCCAAATCAAAAACACTTTTCTTGAAGAGAAAAACTTCAAGTATATTCTTTGAAATGGAAATTTTTCGTAACTCAAATTTTGACAACAAAACGACAAATATTCACTGAAATGGACAAAATTAATCCAACAATTGAAACATATGATTAAACATACCATAAAATACACTGATGTACCGCTTTTCCTGAGTGGTAATGCTTGAAATTCAACAGCAGTTAGCGGTTTCAGTTGATTTACCATCTGTCCTTCGACGGCAATTAATCCGATGTAGTCATTCCACAGGTAACCAGAACAATCGCTTACATTGCACACAACTGCTGTTCCTAAAAATATTCACTAATTTTGATACAATAGCAAAAAATGAGAAAAACGAAGAGATAAAGACAAAACATTAAAACACTTCCTGATACTTCCATGATTTACTGTGGTACCTCATATTAGATCACTACATATTTACCTTTAACAATACATTCGTTCTCTCTAATAAGGCATTTCAATCGTGGATGTGCCATTAATATAATCTTTCGGGCAAACCATTTTCCATTTTCCTGAAAAAAAAAAAATCATGAATAATTACTGGCGGCTGCACTACATTACTGCACTAAATTCCAATTGTTTTAAATTTTTTTTTTTTCTAACTGATTATTCTAATTGATAATATGTTATTTTCATTAAATTTTGGTTAAAAAGCATGACTTTTGAATTATTTTTGAAATGAAGAGGAAAAAATTATATATTGTTGAGAAGTATGTTTATCAATTAGCATGACATGAAAACATATTTGGAAATTATAAATTACATATAACTTAATTAGCAAATTTTAAAATTCAATATCAAAAGTTGGCATTTCAACATGATATTACATGTAATCATGTGAAGAAAAAAGTTTAAACATATGTTAGTTTTAAATTAAAAAGATAATTCCAGACAAGTCTTCATCTTATTCATATAAACCAAATTAAATCAGTGTTCTAAATAATAAGCAAGTTGGGAGGGAAGATATTTAGAAAAAGGGGGAAAAGAAGAAAAAATAAAACAAAAAATAGCATTTCAAACCTGGCAGAATGGCTTAAACTTGCACCACATTCCAATACTAGGCTTTCTACTTCTGCTAATTACTTCCGTTGTTTCATCTAAGCAAACTTCACCAATTACAGAACAATAAATTGATCGTATACCATTTGGTGAACAATCATAGATGAAACCATCCAAATTGATTCCATCCATACTAAAAATAAAAATAACAAATATCACATAGAAATAAGTATTACACATAACTTTTCGCATGAAATTATACAATCTTTACGCATATGAAATGAAAAAGACGCATATGAGAAAAAAAAAAAAAAACTTTAATTTCTAATAGTAACCAAAAAACACTGTTATTCTTTCACATGTAAATAGTGTAGCGCATAAAGCCAATGTATTATTTGTTGCTGTTAAATTAAATTAAAATTATCAATTTAAGATTAACAATTTTTTTAATAGTTTATAATCCCTAACAATAATCAAAAGGCATTGTCATTTTTTTTTTTTTTTCATATGCAAATAGAGAGAGAGAGAGAGAGTTTAAAAGGGGAAAATTGCAAAGTCTACGCATTACTTCACGTATGCTTCCTGACGGATTTCACACTTCTTCATAACTTTAAAATTTCAATCGTGCAATAAATTTCAACAAGGTCGATGGAACGTTTTACATCACAAAATGGTAAATATCACACAAATTACAACATACTTTGCATCGGTTACGCCAATATGTTTAATACAAAAAGTAATTGAAGACAAACACTATGACATCGAGAAATCTTCAAAATTCTTTTCAATGTTAATTTGAATGAACTTTAGCATTTTCATAATGCGAATTCTGGTATATCTCTTCTCCCTCTCTCATTCTCCCTCTCTCTCTCTCTCTCTCCCTCCTTCCCTCTCTTTCATATTCTTTGTCCCTCAAAAAAAAAAAAAAAAAGAAAAAAAGATATTTCATTTTTCATTATTTTTCTTTGAATTTACAAAAAAAAAAAAGAAAAGAAGATTTTAATTATTATCGATATTCGAAATTATTTTTTTGTGAGAAGAAGAATTTTTCTTTTTTTTTTTCATATTCAAATCATAATTTCAAGAATTGGTAATAAGAAAGGGAAAACAAAAATTTGCCTAGAAAAAAGTAATTGAATAGACAGAAATAAATAGAATGAATAAACATTTACAGAAATATTTAGAATTGAAAAATGCAATGTTTATTTGAATTGTAAGATTGATTCATCTTTTACTTAGATTAATCATTTTACTTCAATCATTGAAATTATATTATTACTATTATTATCATTTTTTATGTTAATAAAAATTTGAAGTAATATTTTCGCTGTCAATTTTTACTGAATTGATATTTTGATTAATAATTAATACATCTGAGCATTAAGATGAATACAAGTATTAAAATAAGAAAAAATAATTCAATATTTCCAGAAATATTATTTAAGTATTTGAATATATTTAATTGAGTTCTATTTGAATATATATTTGAGTACTATTTAAGCATTTGAATATATATATATATCACATTATCATAAGTGGATCACATTGTCAATACTGATATCAATAGTATATACAAATTCAAGAATATGAACCTTACATCTAGTATTTATATACTCGATACTTTATGTCACTCAAATATTTCGTGTTCATATCATATCATATAACACTCGATTTATGAACATTACAGGTTTACTGCTTAATCCGTAATAATCTAAATTTTTTGTGAGAGTACATTTTTGGAATATTTTGATTAAACAAAATCGATAGAAATAGCCAATATTTGTATTGAAAGGTTCAAACAGGTGGTTATCAATCAAACTATATTAACGTATATCTTAACGTTCTTTACGTCTTTTACGTACCGAATTATTAATTATGTTCATTTTCCATTTCTGAACTATTTTGCTTTTAAATAAGCTGAAATTTTCATCGCTACAACCAATAACTCAGTCATCTCTTAATGCTTTTTACAATATTATGCGTCATCTTTTATTTCAAAATTTTATTCTCATTTATATAAATAGATGATAAAATCGGTCAATGTTTTCATTTTTAAAAAATACACCTATGATTTAACATTTATTTAAAATAAATGAAATGGAATTTTCATTTCTTTATTTTGTTTTTTTTTTTTTTTTTTTTTTTTTTGAATTTCAACAATTTCCATGCAAAAAGTTAAAAAAAAAGGTAAATATATATTAAAACTACAAATATATTTCATTTCGTTTTTTTTTTTTTTTTTCAACATAAACACTGATAATTTCAAATGCTATGATGATTAATCGGTATGAACTTTCTTTTTTCATTTTTTTTCTTTATTCTTTCCTTTTCTTTTTTCTTATCACTTCCTCTTCATTTCTCTTATCACTTTTCTTTTTTCTTTCCTTTCTCTTATCATCACTTCCACTCATTCACTTTTTTCCTTTAACTTTTCAAAGAATTCCAAAAGAAAAAAAAAAAAAAAAAAATGTTTGAAGTTAATGAAGCTTAATAGCAATTACTTCACCTTTTCATATACAAACTGATTAAGAAGAATAAGAAAAAAGCTTGGAAAATTATCAGTATGATATGATATGATACGGAGACAAACAGACAGACAGACATGCACATACACATACACACATACACACACATGCATGCATGCACATGTTGAGGCATAAATAGTTGTTTTTGTTGAAAGTGTCGGAGGAGGAAGATTATAAATTGGTCTTGAGAGATATCTTTTCTCAGCAAACAACAAGGACGGTGGGCAACAGCGGTAGTAGCAGTGGCAGTGAAGTAATATGAGATTGGCGCAACAGTCGTGCGGTACTGAACCGATTAGTGATAATGATAAATGTCATCATGTTATCACTGCCAATGAAATGGTGCAAAATTTTGCTAATCGGTTAGTTTGTCATTTAATTTTTTAATTAATTATAATTTGTAATTAACATTAATTTTGTTATATTATGTCTTATTTAATTTTATGCATTTCTTTTTTTTGTCTTGTTTGTTTTATTTTGATTTAATTTATCATCAAATATGTTTTTGTTTTTTTTTTTTTTTTTTGTTGTAAATGTGTGTGTGTTTGTTTCTTTGTTGATTAACAATTATGATAAGATTAATTTTGTGTGGTGCCATTCTGTGTTGTGGTATTTGTATCAAATTTTAGATTGATTAAATTTGTTAACTGTTGGTTAATGATAATTCATTATCACTCCTTATCACATCTCATATCAATCTGTTTACATTTGATAGGTCTTTAATAATAAATGAAAGATGAATAACAATGAATAATTAATTGGTTACTAAATTAGTTGAAATTATTTCAGAACTTCTCCTCACTAATGTAATATGTCTAAATTTTATTTTTTCAATTCAAATGTCACATCATGAATTTTTATCGAAATTCTTACACCAAATTATCTTCAATAAACTTTAGAAATTTCAAAAGAAAAAAATTTTAAATATTTAATGGTAACAAATTAAAATACCTAATAGTTGAAGAAGAAAAAAAGAAAGAGAGAGAGAGAGAGAGAGGGAGAGAAAGCGATTGCTTGACAGCATTAATCTGTCACTCTGAAGCGTCATTTGTTTTTGCTTCGAGCAAACTGAAGAAGCTTCAAGGAGCTTTGTTCAAGATTTAAGTATCAATGATTAAGTTTTTTTCTGTGTTGAAATAAAATGGTTGCAGTAACAAATCATAGTTTATCAATTGAAACAGCCAAGAAATGAAATATTCTGGATTTTCTTTTTTTCTTTCCGGTTGCATTCTCACATAACTTTCTTCATTTTCTTCTAAATAAATAAATAATTGTTTTAAACACACTACAGAAATCGCAAAAAAAGTTTTGCGAATAATAAATTTTTTCTTATTGCTATCTACCTCGATTATTTCCAACATTCAGTAAAATATAGTTCAGACGAATGATTTGAAAATTTGCAGAAAATAAATCGAATCGTTGAATTTGTTTTACCCTATATCATACTAATCATTAATTATAACTATTATAAGCAAATGATAGTAATGATAACGAAATCAACCATGTGATAAGAAAAGATGATGAATTGACGTTGACAAGATTAACTGAACGATGACAATTTCATCAAATAATCATGTTTATAATATAGTTTTGAAAAATGAATAGATTTTGAAATTTCAAGAAAAACGAAATAATTTTTAGAATTTTTTCGAATATTTTATCATTTCCAACAATTATCTCTCGTTTTCATTTCAGATAAATATCATTTGAAAGTAATTTAAATCAACTGTTATTTTTTAATTACTGAAGTGTTATTTTATTAAATTTTGTGATGCGAAATTCCTGATCTAGTCTCCAATCCAGTTTCTGAAATAATATGAGCTTCAAATATCATAAGAATGATCATTTCATTCCATTTCTTTTGCATTAACTAACTCTTTCGATTTTTGCTTGAAATTTTAAATATTTATGCAAATTTATGTATTGTCAAATTTTGTTTTAAATGTCTAAAAACTAAGCAATAAATATTTCTATAAAAAAATGAAAATGATTGCTTATATTTAACAAATTTATCGATTTAATTTCTTATTATTTTAATTTCTTAATGGTTTCATTTTTTTTCCATTATTTCGTAAAAGTTTTGTAACTATAAATTTACTAATAATTTGAAAGCAATTTTACAAATACTTTTTCTTTTTTTCTTTTTTTTTTTGAATTAGCTAAAAACAAATAATTATAATTTGTCATATAGATCAATGCCGCCAAGCAAAATATCACCATTATCATCCAATAATTGTGGCACAAAAGCTGACGATTTTTTGCGCAAATTGAGTAATGCATCTGTAAACAGTTCTCAAAAGTAAGCTAAATTAGTTATTTTTCTTCAAATAAATTTTAGTAAATTTAAAAATTGCTTTGTAAAATTTTTTTAAAAAAAAAAAACAATTTTTTCTTAGTCTAGTGATATAAAAAGTTTTTCCTTACTAATTTTAAGATAGCAAAGAAAAAGAAAACGAAAGTTATCATAAAATATCGATATTACTATCAATAATTTCATCTATCTCATTTCTTCCAAAATTCAACAGGGAATCATCATAAACAACTGAATTTGTCGTATATCAGAATGTATAATTGGATGATTTATGAGATCCATTTCTTAGCAAAAAAAAAACAAAAATAAAAACAAAAAAAAAAAAAAATGAAGTAAAATAAGTGAAATAACCTTTTTCACAACTTTATTCAATCTGATGTATTTTACTTATAAAATTTTTATTAAAAATTTCTCACAGATATTTCTTAAGAGAAAAATTTTTTCAATTATTAGCTTACAAAACCAATTATTGGACGCTATTGTTTTCGGTTTTTTCTTTTTCCTTTTACATTAAGAAAATTATCTTTGAAAGACGTCGAAAAGAAAATAAGAGAAAAGACTGAAATTATCCTTACATATATATATGTATACTGAATCGAAGATTATCTCAGTTTAATCATATTTGATAGTTTTTAGTTTTATAAATTAACAAAATAATATTGCTATTAAACCACTTATAAACTTAATTTGCTTTCTTTCATTCAGTAAAGTACATTATTTTTTATGCTTAATAAATTTTAAAAATTAATTTTTGTAGATGAACTCTTTGTGCTAATAGAATATTCTCGATAACCGGAAATTAACCGAATTTTCTCGATACAGCTAATAGATTAAAATTATCTTTTAAATGAGTTTCTCCTGCAGTTGCACTTTAAATTATCTCAGCTTTGTAGGAAAAAAAATCTGTTTCATAGTTGAAAATTTGGGATTTTCTTTCTTTTTGCAAAAATTTGATTAAAGTGTAAATTTTTTTGAAGTTGAAATAAATAATAGCATTCAACCAAAGATCAATTCTTTATCAGCAGTAATCGAAGAAAATAGTAATAAAGTGTCACCAGCGATTAATAAATAGAGCAGAAAAAATTGATGAAAAATTTTTTCCTGAATACTGCCTGATGGAACGATTGAAAAAAAAAAGTTTTACAACTTTTTAGCTCCAGTAATTTATACGGAGAAATGTTATGCGAATCAAAATAATATTAAATTAAATTTAATTAAGCTTGAATTTGTAATTTGATGAATTTAATGTAATGAGGATAATTCGAATGGTCTATTTTCTAATGGTTTAGTAAAATTCAGATTAAGAAATAAAGTTAATCAATGAAATATTTTCAAACAGATGTGAAAAATTCAATTTCTTTCTTCTCTAATCAATTATTTTTTTAAATCTAATCTAAATTTAAAATTTTCTAAATCTAAGCTAATGCTTTTTTTAAATATGAAATTAGAAAAAGGTTTTACATAAGTTTAGCACAAGCCATGAAGATGAAGATGAAGATTGCCTGAGTAAATAAAGAATATTAAATCATCTCAATCGTTATACAAATCCTCTTTAAATCAATTTCGTTAAAATTTCATTTCATAAATAGTTCAAATATCACTCGAAAATGGGAACTACGAGGCCTTAGAAGAGGTGAAACTGCACGTGGCGCTATCGGCCTGTTTAGTAGTAAACATAACAGTAATGCCTCTTCAGCTACAGATAATTCCAATAAATTGAAAATAAAGTATGCTTTTTAAAGTTTTCAATTTTTTTTTTCTCATAGAAACATGAAAATAGCCTTTAACTAATGCATATTATTTACATATTTATATTATTGTTCATAAAAGATTAATTTACAGATTAATTGTCTTGAAACGTAAAAGTTATCTCAAATTTCAAAACCTAAAATTCAAATCCTTCTTATTTATGCATATCCTAGTCTGCGCAATAAATCTGCTTCGTTGGAAGAAACTAATATTGTCGCTAATGGTATGCAAAAAATTTGTAGAAACAGGAAAGACTCTAATATTTCTGAGAGGTAATTTAATTTGTTTTTTAATTAATATTTTTTAAAAATAAAAGTAATTTTTTCAATTTTTTTTACAAAGTATTTTTAATCAGTACATCGAAAATATGAGTGATCAGTTAACTGAATTGATGAAAAATGTTACACTAAAAAAGTGAAACAGTTCCAATAATATAAAAATTTTTTGAAAATTGAAATATCTCACCGAACTGTTACAGGTTTAACTTAATATTAAAGTCCATATTTAGAAGAATATTTGTAACTAAACAAATAAAAATTTAAATATCAAAATTGTATAACAGTGAAAGTGAGTGTCAGCCGAATTTGCGAATGATTGGTAGAAGCGCACGTGACACAATTAAAATGTTCAATAATATTGCTAATGAAACAAAGGAGAAACTCGACAGGTACACTTTGAAATTCATTTGCTTTCTTCAAATCATAAATATTTTTTCAGAGTTTTAAACTCTTACTTTTAAACTTTTCCTTCCTTTTTTATTTATTAATTTCATTTTAGATTGTGAATAAATTTGCATCAACTTAAAAGATTTTAGTATCGAAAAGTTATATCTCTGCTTGATGTTTATTTTCTTGGAAGATTTTTAAATTAACTAAAATTTCTCAATTCTAAAAAATTTACTTATACTCATTTTTTTTGCTAACAATTTAATTATTTTATTGGCCATTATTTCATTGATCATTTCATAAATTTGATAAATGAAACATCGTTTGTAGGAATCCATTTTCATCAACATATACAGCACCTAAGTATGATACAAGTGCGCAAGATTACGGTCGACCAACGCATGGATCTAAAACGGAAGCACGTGGTATTAGAGCAGGTATGCTGTAGTTTTTTTGTAAATTTTTGGAAAAAAAAATGAATCAATTTTTTTTTTAAAGAAAAATGAAATCGATTAAACTTTCTATCTAGCATTTGTTCTAGATATAATTTAAAAATAAGCTATATTTTAATTACAATACTATTTTAGGTGACACTTGAATATTTTAACATTGAATTTATATTTAAAGTAGTCAAAAAATTTTTCAGGAGATTATGTAATGCGTGAAGTGTTATTTCTATGTGAAGTGATAAATACGCATGCAGAAGGCGAACCACCAAATCGAATCATTCGATTTGGTCCATTATTCTACATCTATGCACATTATTCTGATAAAGTAATTTACTTCTGCATTTGCATAAAATAAATAACTAGAATTTTAAATTTTAAAAAAAACAACCTTTGAAGAGATTAAATGCTTAGGTGCCAAATATTAATGATTATACTTCTCAATTTTTACCTTATGCATAAGTTATAAATTTTTCAAGTAATTTTTAAAATTTTAAGTAAATCTTAAGTAAGTAATATCAGGTTAATCGTATTCTTCAAGTTGTACTCTAATTTATGCACGTTGTTAACGAAATCATAGCATTTGTAGAAATTGCAATAAATATAACTAATTAGTGATATATTATTTATGTAATTTATTCATATAAATTTGATCAGAAATAAGTGAGAGAAGAATTTAAAAGCAAAAGGAATGTAGAAAGAAAATATGTTGAAAAAAACGATAATATAGGGTATAAGCATATAACTTTCAATCATTATGATACCCACTAAATGAAAAATTGTCTTTCAAAATTTCAATTTCAATAAAATTTAAATTTTATCCTTCTCTTGGTAATTTAATCCATCATTACAGTTAGTTGGAATGTTAATTCGAGCCCGAAAATACAAGCTGGTCGATTTTGAAGGTGAAATGTTGTATCAAAGACAAGATGATGATAAAATCATACGTTTGCTGAAACCAATCGAAGAAATACGAAAACTTGAACCTTCCGGTGATCCAGTCAATTGTATTTCAGTCACTAACAACAATGGTGTATGAATTCGATTCTTATTTTAATTGTTAATTAATCAGGTGTTCTGTTGATATCTCATATTTTTTTTGCGAATTTTAATTTTGACTTTTGAAATGGGTATTTCAAAAGCATATAAATTAATGAATATATATATATTTTGATCTTGTTCATAATTAAACTATTTTTACACTAAGACTTATAAGAAATAAAAATAAAGGATTAAACAAGTGAGAAATAATTTGCTATTCAAAAGCTTAAAATCCCAAAGAAAAAATAAAAAATACGCTACCACCGCACATTGTTATTATTAAAATACGTAATATTATCACACTGACGCAACATTCCCTGTCGCACGCCTGTAATCAAAATTTAATATCAGAGCTTACACTACTAGTTAACCTTCCATTACTAAAATATATATTACTATTAAATAAATATTTAACAAACGCTTCATTTGCTTGCCTTTAATCAAATTTAAAACAAAACAACAATCTTTTTACAGGAAATAAGCGAAACTCAATTGTGATTAGTGACAAATGTTGGATTTATAATTCAACCATTAATTTAGTTATGGATGATTTTTCACCAAAATTTTTAATTAATTGTTGTGTCATTCTGAGTTCAAATGCAAATATCTTTTAGAAACTTTCAGTACTTTGAAATATTGTTATAATTTACTTTACTGAAGTTCTGACTAAAAATTTGAAGAACAAACTGAAATTTGATATATTTGTTGTGAAATACGGTCTGATTGAAAATATAGCATAAAGCAAAATAGTTGTTGCTTTGTAAAGAAAACGCTTGATTAATTTTTATTTTATTGAAATAAACATTCCACTAATCGTAGTTACTGAAATATATTAGAAAACTTAAGGAAGTAATTATAGGAAGACAGTGAGTGCCAGATTGCCATCCGGAAAACCTAACCTCAATAAAGGTTATAACCATTCCTTATGTAATAAACATTAACTCATAATAAGACGAATGATCTTCAGCACCGTAGTCAATTACCAGCTTCTAATATAATTTTCAGTCAGTAAGGAAATGACAAACAACAAAAGAGGTTAACTAAATAAGAATTTAATGATTGTAAACAATTTAATTGGTGACAAATTTTAGCACTCAAATTTAGAGATTAATTCTGAACTTATTTGACACTTGTTTTTTTTTTTTTTTTTACATAATTATACACTCATCATATCTGATCTTTGAAAAATAAAACAAAAGAAAATCTATAAAAACTTTGAGTAGGAACATATGTAAAATGATGAAATTTAAAAATATATGGCACGAATATTATTTCCACTTCAATTTTGACATTATATTACTTTTAGTCTTTAATTAATATGTTGAATTTTTTTTTTTTTAATTATACAGTTAATAAGACTTTTTGTTTCTAGCAATGAAATTGATCAAAATATGATTTTATGAAGTTCTAATAAAGTTGCAAAATTAAAATTTAGCAGTATAGCAAATTTATTTTAAGTTTATTGGCATTCTTTTTCATACTTCGTCTTCAGATATGATCTGCTCATATGCTGTCGCCCATTGGATATGGCGTCTCTTCAGCACGGTTAATTAATTGAAATGTTGATAAAGTAATAGAATAACTAGTATGATTTGAATTTACTTTTGACACAAAAATGAGTTATACTTCTTGAATTATGATTGAAGAGTTTCAGTTAACGTCAATTTTAGCCATTTTCAAAGATATTTCTTTTCTTATTTTGAGACTTTATTAAAATTGCTTCGCAATGCTAATAAAGTGACAAATTTGAAATCCTTTACTATTATTTTGAACAAATTTTTCATTTAACTTGTCATTACGTCCTTATTCTTCCTTTTTTTTAGGTTTCTCACTGTCGAAAGCAAAGGTGGAATATTGGTATTGCCGGTATAATGGTAAATATATTCGACCTAAAATGATGGTTAGTTCTTCAATCACTTCCATCAAATGATAATCCTTACTACTAGCTGATTTTTTCAGTTACACATGATAGGAGAAAACGCTCGAGGTGCGATTCTTGAACAAAGACTGATTAAATTTCTGCAAAAAAGTCAAATTTTTATTTGTTTTTTGATTTGGTTCTATCGTATTATGAAAGGAGAAATGGTTGTTCTTACAGAAAGATGCGTCTGGATTTTCAATTATCTGCTTTCAAAACTATTTCTAGGAAGTGATGTGAAATCTCGATATGATCTTCACTGATCGAAATTAGATATCTATTGATTACAGGATAATCCGATGTTCTTGAAAAAATATCCGCTTCTGTTAGTGAAACCACCTGTAGCAAACAAAAAAAATTCTTTAATTGAAAATCCAGACGCTTTTTCCTCACTTCAGTTTACATTTGTCTTTTGAACTTTAAATTGTCCAATTTTCGTACATAATAAAGCATCTTACACTTTCTGTAAGAACAACCATTCCCTGAAACAAAGAGCTTTCTTTGTCCATATGCGCACACAGACAAAGGTGCAAACTGGGATGCGCACACAAACAGTCTCATATATAGAGCCATATATCCTCATTTTAAGTCATTCGTAAAGCAGTTGGAGCCGCGGAGCGGTCGGAACTTGTTACATTCTAGTAATGGTTTGTAGGAGCAAATTTTTTTTAAACTGTCAATTATTATACTTGCTTACAGGAAACCTAATGAAATGAAAGAACATCGAAATTTCATTTGGTTGCAACTGCATAAAGGTATGTGCTTAGACTTGAATTTTGATATATTTTAAATTCGATTTCACTTTCTTCTAATTTTTTATTAGCCACTGAATATGTAGGATTTTTAAAATAGATTTCAATTATTGAATGTTTAAATAGATTTACGAGTTAAAGTTCGCTTCTTTTTATATAAAATATTCTAAGATTAATGAAAAATATTTACAAGTACGAACAGTTGATATTAAAACACAGAAGGCAGATGGTGATATAGCTGACGGAGCTCCTTCTATTGGCAATTTGATCCCCTCGCGAGGAAGGAACAACGAAGTTAGTTATCTTTTGTACTTAGCAGTTATGTAACAAGCAGTTAGGTGTAGATGCTTTAGGTATGTCTCATAATAACGAACCACTAATTAGCCTTTTTTGTTAAGCTTATTATTATTTTGTGGTTTTCTTTACTTCTTATGTTATTGTTGGGATGTAATGTTTAGCTTGGTTTTATGAATGAAATGTTTTGACAGTCCGCTTGTGTATGGTATTGTTGTTTGGACGAATCGAAATCAAATTAAGGCACAATTAGAAGTAAGATGAGTTTAGCTGTACTGGTCTGTGTGTGCACATGGACAAAGAAAGCTCTCTGTTTCAGGGAAGGTTGGGACGGAAATGTGAAGAAGGGGGCGGGTGGGCATTTTTGAAGAGACTGTATGAACCTAAGTGTAGTGCTAAGACTGTGTGCATATGTGAGGAAGGGCCAAGTGAGGAGGAGCCAACGGGTGGACAAACACATCTCAAAAAAGCGTACAGTACAGATAGTCAGTAAGGATAGGACGGAAATGAGCAAAAGTGGGCGAGTGGGCGCACACGGCGACTGGCACTATTAGATGGAGGGTATGGAGATTGTAAATAATTGTGATTTAAACGTTTGTTTTTTTTTTTTCAGCAAAAGCTTGGTAATTTTATCAAATTTTAATTATTTTATAATAAATTCATAATTTTGATTGTTCTTATTTATTTTAGTTTGCTTAACTAACTTATTTATTTTTTCAAAATATTTTAAAAGATGATAAATAAATGATATTTTTTGTAATTTTAACAGTTTCTTAGCAGGAAATTAATTTGTAGACTTTATTGGAATTTACAAATGTTGTTGATCCAGCTTTGTTAGTCGTGTTAATCGTGATTTCTCTTTTTTTTTTCTCTTTTTTGATCATACTACAGTGACTCTTTTTCTTATGTTGCACGCAACCAAGTCAACAGAGGGATGAATTTGCCCTCTTGCAGAAAACTAACTCTCCTAACGATGTACAACAAATGCGCTCCTATTGAATATGCATAACGATCGGACCTAGCAATTGTCACGTCTCGCACTCCTCAACCTAACAAGACCGCCCCGCCGAGATTATAAGTGCAAATTTTGAATGAAGATAAATCCAACCCGCTGTCGACTTGAAAGGAAAAAAAAGAATTTCTCGGCATATGTGTGCGTACTAGTAAGGGACAGTCTCGACATTCATTAGGAAAAGTGAACACTTATTGTAATTGCTTTGTTCCACAGCATTGCGTCTACAATTTCTCACCACAGTTCTCAATTGTGATCTTTGTGATGACATTGATGCATTTTGCGAGGTCTTGTCTCGAGTTTGGATTCTTCTATTCTCGAATGAGCATCAAAAATTTTAACAGCTATGGATGTGTGTCGTGTATTTTTAAAATTCGTTGTCGCATCAGAAGTCGTTAAGCTTCAATTTATTCAATTATATTTGTGACACTTTATGTACAATATTTCTTACATGTCAAATTGGGAGGTCTTTTGCCCTTTTTAATATATATGTAACGTTCGTTCTTCCAATTTGTTTGACGTTTGTTGGATACATAACTGCATGCCATCTTTTTAATAATATATTGCTAACCCCGAGACAAAGCATTGAGAATTGAGCAGGACATCCCTTCTATGACATCCTTCTATGACAACTGGTTTCAACAGTTTCAGAAAACTGATGATCACATGTGAAGGTGCATTTTTCATTTCCTTTATTAACAATAGCCAACAAACTGTTAAAATCGAGTGAAATACACAGTTCGTATAAGACGAACAACAAACAATTATGTAAATAATATAAAGAAAAGCGAAATGAAATGATTGTACTGCAAAGAATTTTGAATTGTAGTGAAACATCTGAAAAGAAAAAACTGATGCCAAACTTCCTGAAACTGATGAGGAAATAAAACCACCATCATTTTTTCACACCTATCATTTTTTGAAAAAAAGTTTAATCTTAAGAGTTTTGAAGCTTAATCTTAGCGTGATAGAAAGTCAATAAAAATGGGTAACGAACAAATAGCGCAACCGCCAGGCGGTTTTTTACCTACCTCAATTATTTCTGCTAAATAATCACAACTGGAAAAAGAATATGGTTTCTTACACTGGCTTGCTTAGTTCACTTCAAAGTTATAAACTGTAACAATTCTGCATGGTTCTGACACACTCAATTAACTTTTCAAATGCTTCACTCACCTCGAAATTAGGAAATTTAATGATACAGAACAAAAACCATAAAACTGCTATCATTTAAAGCGTTTTAATAGTTTTAAATAGATAAGCAACCCTAAACATAAATGAATTTCTTTAAGAAAGATTTTCAAGCGGAATTAAAGTTCTTCCATAATAAATTACAGTTACAGGAAATACTTTTGTTGACGTTAATTCAGACTACTCTGCAGACTTCTCTGACAGTTTACTCTTCCAAAAAGGTACGGCAACTGAACTGAAAAGTAAAAGCATTAAAACAAACACCGAAAGTAGTAAGAGTGCTGGGATAAAAGAACTCTTTCAAAGCAGGCTTCAATTAATTCAAAACTACAAATTTAAAAAAAGTGGGGATGGAAGGGTGTAGAAAGGAACATGTAAAGTCCTCGACCTGAAATATGTGTTAAATTATGGGATGCATTGGCATAAACATTGAAGAAATTAATAGGATTACCAGAAAACAAATTGAATTACTCAACAAATCATTTCCATTACATACTTTCGTCTTGAAGAACGCAAAACAAAAAAAAGAAAGTGAAATTAAATAAACAGCTTACCTATTTAACAAGCGAATAAATTAAAGAATCCAGCAACAAACAATTCTGCAATAGTTTTCGATACATGTACCTACAAATAAAGAAGAATTTCCTTCTCAACTCTGAGTCTTGTCTTAGGGTTAACAGCATTCTATACACACCATTATTAGTTTAAATAAAAAAGCAAAGATAACATAATCTGAGCTTACTCCTTGAACTGGAATTGAAGCAACCGTAGAATAACACAAAATTTAATTTCAACACTTTCAGAAAATTGATGATTTTGTTATGGTCATATGATATACAATACAATAACAAATATCAAGCTTTAAAGTCTCCCAGTTTTGGCCACAAAACATAACTGCACATACATAAAGTGACGACTAAGAACTTTTGTCAGAATTACATATTGGTCAATGGATATTGAAATAAAAATTTTCTAACATTCATTTCAGACGAATAAAAGCCGAACTCGAGATATGTCGCAAAAATCGAAATCTAAATATCGCCGCGAGAAAACAACACAAACACCAAACAATCACAATTGACTAAACTACAGCAAAAGAAAAATTGTACATCTCTCATGTCGGAGCAGAACAGTTGCAATAACTGTCCGTCCATTCGCTTTACAAATGCCCAGACCGCCTCCTACTAGTTATACGCATATATGTCGAAAATCTTCGCCTCTTTGTTCTTTTACATGCAAACAAGTATTATCTTCATTCAAAATTTGTGTGTATGACCTCAGCGGGGCGGTCTTAACAATTACTAAGTAAGAGCGCATTTGTCGTGCATCGTTAGGAGAGGTAGTTTTCTGCAAAACGGCAAATTGATTGATCCCTTTGTTGACTTGCTTGCAACATAAGGAAAGGGTTACTGTAGTACGGTCAAAAAGGACATATGTGAGCATACTAATTTGGGGCGGTCTTGGTTTATTTTACAAGCGCTTCAATATTGCTTCAAAGCGATGGTGCCACATTATTACGTTATCTTCGATTTTAATGAATAATGGAGTACACAGAGTGTATTTCTTGATGTGAAATCAGTTGAATTTCTCTTCACTTAATGTAATATATAAATGCATTATTGATGCGAAAAGAATGATATAAAATCTCTGAAAAATTGCTTCTTTCAAAGATTAGTTTTTAATTTTATAAGTTAACAAAATAACATTGCTATTAAAGGTTTATAAATGTGAAGTAAATTAAGTTTTAACATCTTTCATTCAGTAAAGTACATTATTTTCTATGCTTAATAAATTCTAAGAATTAATTTTTGTAGATGATATCATTGTGCTAATAAAAAAGAAAAAGTGATTTAATTTGTTTTTAAATTGATATTTTTAAAAATAAAAGTAATTTTTGCAATCTTTCCACGAAGTATTTTTAATCATATGAGCGATCAATTAATTGAATTGATGAAAAATTTTACACTAAAACAGTAAAACAGTTCCAATAGTATAAAAAATTTTGTGAAAATTGAAATATCTGACCGAATTTTTATAGGTTTAACTTAATATTAAAGTCCATATTTAGAAGAATATTTGTAAATAAACAAATAAAAATTTAAATAGCTAAAATTGTATAACACTGAAAATGAGTGTCAGTCGAATTTGCGAATGATTGGTAGAAGCGCACGTGACACAATTAAAATGTTCAATAATATTGCTAATGAAACAAAGGAGAAACTCGACAGGTACACTTTGAAATTCATTTGCTTTCTTCTTCAAATCATAAAAAATTTTTCAGGATTTTGAATTCCTACAACTTTTTCTTTTTTTTTTTTTTTTCATTTACTAATTTCATTTTCGATTGTGAATAAAACTGATGGATCGATGTGAAAATGTCTCGTTTGACGTTATTCATGGGATATTTTTTTTTTTTGTAAATTTAAAAATTTTCTAATCTTCCTTTCTATTTCTCATATATAATCTTCTGATTTTAGGAAATGTAGATTCTTTCCTTGAAAGTTTAGGAAACTTTTAATCCTTTAGAAGAGCACAGGGAGCTTTGATCAATTCAAACTTTTTACAAATATTTTGAAAAAATTTGCATATTTAACAAGTGACACAAGCAAAATATTTAAACGGAAAGTTCTTAAGACAAATTAATAAAGAAGAAAAGGTATCGGTTGGTTTTAATTTCTGATTTGCACAAATGTTGCGGAATTCATTTGTGTAATCTAGGTAGATAAAAAAAAAAAAAGTGGACATGTGGTTTTGGATTTGAAAAAGTAGGCTGAATTTCCTTTTCATTTTAAAATCGGAATAAGAAAGAAATATGGGAACAAGATTACGATCAGGAAAATAAAAAAATTCAAAGAAATAAAGGAGGATGAAGATATAAAGAGAAAACGAGAGAGAGAGAAGAAGGAGGTGGAGAGAAAGAACGAAGATGCTTTAATGAGTTAAATAAATTCTAGATTTGATTTGGTAATAAAATCAGGATTCGATCAAGTTCAATTTCAAATTTTTTTTTGTCAGATTTGAATAATTTAACTTTTTCATTGCAGTTCTTGTGAAATTTTGCTCAGTTAAGGATAATACAATTAGCTGATAATGCAGCAACATAATTTTTATCGACTAAAATTAGGTAAGAAATGGAAAAAAATGTTGATCACACTAATAATAATCAGCAAATTTGCAATGCATATTTGTGAAATACCAGTTATAACAAGTAACTGGAATGTTGCAAAAGAATAATCCGGTAAAAATCCGGTAAAAGATGTATTTAATTTTATTTCTAAAAATTATGAAGCAAAAGCAAGAAAAAATGCTTGAATATCACTATTGGTTTTGATAATCAATTTTTTTTAATCAATTTTTCCAGCAAACTTTATTTTTCAGGAATTAGGATTTTTCAATTATTACTATTATTATTAATATTATTATTATTATTATTATTACTATAATTAGTTATTATGTTTATTGTTACTATCATTATTATTAATATTGTTATCAGTATTATTACTATTTATTATTATTATTGTCATCATCATTATTAATACTATCATTATTGTTAATAAAATTTCAGATTTTAAGAATAATAATTTCAATATCAAATAATAATATAATATGTTTTCTTCTGGAGTATGTCCTTTCCTAGGTTTGCAAATTTCAGGTTTGCCAGGTACGACTAAAAGTGAAGTTTTACAAGGAAAATATGCCAAGCTAATCCTTCCAGCTGCTAGTAATGATTATTTGGATGCTGTTGTTACACATGTTGAATGTAAAATTATCCATTCATTTCATAATTAATCATTCCTTTTTAAAGAATTTTACAAGTAATTCAATCATGTTATCATTGCAACTGCTCATTTTAAATTTGTAAATTAATTATTTGTTTATAGCATGGACTACAGTTCATATACAATTAGCAAATGCTTATCATATATTATCAAAATTGCAAAAAGAACTAAAAAAAATATACCATACCACCAAATCACTATCAAATCCTCTCTCAGGTTATATTGATAATGGCAACAGCTGTTTTATGAGAAGAAATAAATTTGTATCAGTTAAATATTGTGTTGAGAATTTTGAGATTTGAGATAAATCAGAAAACTATTCATTTTGAAAACATTGCTTATTGATCGGTTTGATTACGATTACTTGTTGTATTATAAGACATAATGTGGAAAAAAAAAAAAACTAAACTAAATAATTTTAGAAAAAATAAGATAGAGAAAAAGATTAAATCAAATAATAAAATTTTTTTTTTAAATATGAAATAATGTTCGGTTAAAAATCTTACAGGTTCAGCTGGAATTATGAAATATGGCTTACAAAATGAATGCTATCGTGTACTTATTATTAAACGTGTCGATCCAACATTAATATTTGTAAGTTATAAAAATATGAGTAAAAATGCATATGTGATTGCATTATGATGATTAAAGTTTATCGCGATATTGTCCTAAAACTTGATGACAACTTTTTTTTCATTTAATTTTGATTTCGTTTGCATTTTAATATTGATAATAATTGTTTTTTCTTCTTTAAGAGATCTTTTTATCATTCATTTGTTGTCTGTTATAATATATTTGCCAGGAAAAATTATGTTAAAATTTTTTAACTTTGCAATGAAAATAAAAATTTCAAACTAACCAAACATTTAACTGTAACTGTTATCCATCTTTTTTAAATGCCTTATACAGGAGATTTTTTGATAAAATTTATTTCAGTCAATGAAGTATTTGTTTAAATAAGTTTTCATTGATTTAAACAAATAGCTTAGTGATTGCATGAGCTTAAAAATAATATTTTAATTGCAAGCTAAAAAATTTAACTCGAATGTTTTAATTGAAAATTTCAAATTTTTTTTTTTTTTTTTTTTGATAAATGTGTTTTTACAAATAATAGATGATGATTAATTAAATTTGATCATCAATTATCTAGCAGTAACTTAATGTAAAAGATAATATTTGTGTAATAATCAAGGTACGATTTGTCGATTTCGGTTATACAGATGTTGCAACAAAACAGCTAATTCATCCAATACCAAAAAATTTAACTGCCATACCTGGTCTGTTTAACATTTAGCACCTAATACTTATACAAAGTATGATTGATCTGATTTTTTCTTTTTTTTTTTTTTTACTTTTAATGATTTAACATTTGGTTTCAAATAAAAATTTGATTAACCTAATTTAGTTATTTTTTGCATTTGTAATTTGTGTTACAAATATTTTTTCTTTTGGGAGGGGAGGGGGAGAGGGCTAATTTAGCTGTGTTACTAAATAATTGTCAGAAGATTTTAATTATTGCTAAATTGTAGCAGAAATGAAATGATTTTGTAGCGCAAGCATTTCCAATACGAATGGAATTAAAACAAGGCATAGCTGGATCAGTGTCGTTTAATGCTTTTCGAAAATATTTAACAAATGCGCAAGTTATCATTCAATTAGGTTTATCAGTTTATCAGTTTTTTTTTTGCTTGTTTATCTTGCATCAAATTAGAATTTAACAGTGAAAAAAGTAACTAATTTTGGCCGAAAATTTGTAAATTCAAACATTTGATATTAACATATAAGAGATTAGTGTAGTAGGTAAAAAAAGCTCGATTTTGATTATAAAAATACAGAAATGAATGTCAGTTGATTAATGTTCTAATTTTTTTCATCCCATTTGATAAATTTAGATAAATTTTCTTTTCTATCAAATCTTTTCTATCATTTAAAACTAAATAATCAATTTTGAACATTTCAAATTTAACATCTTGTTTAAATGCGTAAAATGAATACTTCTGGGGTTTACTAAGATTACTTTAAACCAAAAATGCATTTTGCACAATCATTTTGTCTTATTAAACTTATATAAATTTTCTAGCCAAAAAAAAAAAAATAAAATAAATAAAATCTTAAAAAAAATTAAAACTGATTTTCGGATGATAATATTTTTGCGAATGACAAAATACAGGTAATAAAACTGTGAATGATTCTTTCATGGGAGTTATACATGTGATTGATGAAAGCAATAGATGGCATTGGATGAATGAAGCAATCGAATCAAAAATTCCTATCAAAAAGTATCTAAATATTTCTATAAAATATGTAATTCAAATAAAAAAGTTCGCTTAGTTAACATATGATCGGAAAAAAATAAAAATAACTATTAAAATTTAATTTAAAGTTAACATATGATCGGAAAAAAATAAAAATAACTATTAAAATTTAATTTAAAACCATCTGTACGTTTAATTATAAGTATACAGTTGATGATTTCATATTTATGATCAAACTCATTATGTTTTATAAATTCATTTCTCTTTAATAAATCAATACATCATAGTTTTTATTTTAATTAAAATAAGTAAACCCAATATTTTGCAAAATATATTTCGATATGAGGATAATGAAAAATTATTTCTAAAGTCTAAAATTTTGAAACTTTCTTTTAATATAATTAGTTTTTCAAAAAAACTATACTTTACTTGAAGTGATGCAATAACCAATTACTAAGTTTTTACATTTAGATTAGTGATCAATGCTAATGATAATGAAGGTGAAGAAATGATGGCTTATATCAGTGATGATTTTAATAATCAGCCAATGAGGATGATAATCAAGCCATCCGGAAAAATTGATTCAATAGAAAATGAAAATAATCCGAAAATGATTGATCAGCACAAAAATAATGATAATCAAATAAATGATAACGATTGGAAAAATGACCAAAATGAACAGCTTCAACTGATTGATGATAATAACAGTGATAGGAAAATTATTGTTGATAATCTTGGAAACAAAATTGTGATAGATAAAAGCGATAAGGAAACGAATGGTGCAGAAAGAAAATATGATAAGCAAGGAAAAAATTATCGAAGTTCAGCACAGTTATCAGGAAATAATCAGAATCATCAAGGTAAAACTGATTTTGTTTAATATTATCATTAATTTAACAGTTTTTTAAAGTATTAGTGTTATCATCGGATGAAAAGTGATAAGTTAAATATTTTGCATTGAAACAATTTTTTATTTGATTTTCAAGGAATTTTAATTAGGATTTAAATTTTATCAACAAATTGAAATGAATGAAAATTGATTTTCTTTGTACTGAAGCTTAAAAGTTCAATATTAGAAAGGTCAAGATCAAAATAACAAATTTAACATGCTAACTTTAAAGATTATTAAATTTGATCAAGTTATCGCAGAATAATTTTTTCAAGAAAAATGAGTTGTTTTTTTTTTTTTTGATGAAAATCTCTTTTTAAAATGTTAGAATAAATTTGAACAATGAACTTTTTCAAAATCTGAGAAAAAAGAGGAAGAAATTATTAAAATTTTGATAATTTTAAACGGGAATGGATAGGTTTTATCAAAGGAAGCAATTATTTTGTTAAAATATATTTGTTCTTAGTGGTATAAAGATAAAGCAGATAAAAAATGATTTCTTTTGCTTTTTTTTTTTCAAATCATTTAAAAAAAAAAAAAAAATTGTTTCATTATTTATCGCCATAAATTTTATTTAATTTAATCTAAATTAATTTTGTTATCACTAATTCAATGTTAAACGATATGAAACTGTAAAATTGGCATATTGATAACAATTATCATTTATCATTTATAGATAAACAAGTGAATGCGGTTAAACTGCGACCATTAGATGAAGCACAAAAAAGGGAAAAAAATCGTAAAAAACTATCTAAAAATGAGGAAAATGAAAATTATGAAAATTTGGATAGCTTTATATCAAGAAATTATCAAGAATTAAATAATATTACCAATAAAGTAAGATATCTCACTTCGACATTTTACTGCATTTGAAGTTTATATTTATAATTATATATTGGAATTACCAATTTATTTATTTGTAACTATAATTACCTAATTTAAATCAACAATTTCAATTTAACAATTTTCAAATATCAAATTAATAATTTTCAACAAATGGAGACTATCAATTTAGTCAATAATGACGCATAGCATAAAAAAAAAAAAAAAAAAAAAAAAAAAAACGAAATTTCAAACATACAAATAAAATTGTTTTATAAAAAATTAAATACACTAGGTGAAAATACCCTAACAAATTCATTTTTTTTTCCTTTGGTAATTTTTTTTTTTTTAGTTATTCATTTCATTCATTGATTTACTATTTTAGAATTTCGATAAACTACAACAAACGACACCATATCAAATTAATTTGAAAAGTTTGTTTGTTTGTTTTTGTTTTTTCTTTTAAACTATAAACCGTAATTATTAAAGAAAGGAATGAATGAAAGAAAGCATTATATACAGTAGTCAATTAATACATAACAGGAAATACGTTATCAGTTCAGAAGGTAGTTACGTAATTCCGGATGGAAACATTGAAGATAATCCGGATATAATGATGAATATTTTGCAGTGTCAACAAATCCCGGTAATTCATCAATATGGATTATAATTCTAGCGAGTCTAATAGTGGCTTTTGTTTTCATTATTGTATTCGTTCGAAAAAGAAAATGGATTCTATCGTTTGTTAACGAATTAAATTTAATTTTTTTTTTTTTTTTTAGATTAATTAATTAAGCTGTCGAAAAGTTATTCTAAAGGATATTGGATATTAGTGAAATGCTAATTAGAATTCAAAATTAAAACTAATCCAAGTGCTAAGTTAATGCTAATTAAATCAAGTGATTAAAAAAAAAAAATCAAATGCTAATTTATACTAATTAAAAAACAAAACTGCCTAGCACAAAAAATATTTTGCTGTTTTTAACTTTATTTGAACCAAATTTTTTTTATTTATTTTTATTATTAAGTAATATTTTAGTCAATACGAAAATCTCATTGATTATAACTTATGAAAACGAATTTTATTCGAAAAATGAGACATATAATATGTTAATGAAATTTATTACAATTTTGGAACACAAATTTACTAATTTTGATTTACCGCGAATTTGACAAATTATACTCTTTAAACTTTTCATTTTTTTTTGGAAAAAAAAATTATTTATTTTCAGAAAAATAAATAGACAAAACAATGAAAAAACATTTATAAATGATCTCAAGGTTGATCAATTAATTCTTTTTTTTTTTTTCCAGGGATAATTAAAAAATTTTGCATGATACACTTCACAAATTAATTTAAAATTTGAACTCTTTTAAAAAGTAAGATATGGAAAGAAAATTTGCATAAAGCATTTTTAATTTGCCATGATATTAAATTTTGATTATTTTAATTTCAGATTAATCATCCAATTGCAACAAAAAATAGTGTATTGGAAGGATCAACAGAAACGAGTCAAACTACTACTAGCAATTCATGGAAAAATGCTGGAAGAGAAAAAAATTTGACAACTCTCGATAATAAATTAAAAACGGAAGATTTGGGCTCTGTAATTGGTTTAATGGCTTATGGTAGTTTGAAAGATGACATTGATAATAATTTAAAGAGAAGGTATAACAATAGGTAAGTGCTTTTGATAAATTTAAATCTAAAAAATTAAGTTTCTTTAAAAATAACCACTTCTATCTTATATTTGCTTAAATTTTCTTTCAAAGAATTTTAAAACTTTTTAAGCATTTATTGATGACAATTTAAAATAAATTAGAATCTGTGCATATACTTTTAATAAAAATTTTATTTGAAAAGTTGAGATGATCAATTTAAATAATAATTCCATTAGTTAGTACTAGTGGAATATCTATTTTCATATTCTGTTATTCATTCAGGTATTATTGTTGTAGCAATAGGTTTATTATTGCATTTGTTAAAATTCTTAGATTAATTGCAATGTATTTCAGATATTTAATTGCTCAATGCATTTGTTAGCTAGCAGATAGCATTTCAATCAATGATCATTGTTTTAGCTTCAAATTTCAAGTAGTTCTCAAATAATTTACAGCAATTTCAGTGCTTTTCGACAATATGCTGGTCGCTCAATTACTGATTTCAATTTGCCATTGTCGTCAACTTCCACTGATTATACGACAAATACTCAAGAAAGATCACAAATCATAGTGAGAAATCAAGATAATAAAATGAATAATAATAATAATAGTTTTAGCGAAGAGTTAATTGACATATATTCGGCAAAGTTTACCTCCGAAAGCACTGATAACGATCAGTTAGAGTTATCAGCTAGCATCGATGATACAACACTAACTGATATCGTTAATAGGAAGCAAAATATGAGATCAAGAAATCATCGATGTAAGGTTTGTGTGTGTTTTATTTTTGACATTTCATATATGCATCAGAAAATAAAACTGCAATTACAGATTATTTTATTCTTTTCTACATTGAAATTTGTATATTGTGGAAATTAAGTATGTAAAACTGAGAATATAAGATTTCAATATTTTATCCCTTACATAAGTAAGTAAAAATTAAAATATTCCAATATTTCATATTTTTTTTTTTTAAATAATTCATTGATATGATCAATTTTTTTAAGTTAATTCAGCAAGAAATAAAACTACAATTACAGATTTATTTTGCACTTTTTTTGCAATAGAATTTATTTAAAAAAAAAATATATCAATGATTAATTAAAAGGTAAAATATTGGAATATATAATATTGTATTTTATCTTTTACATAAGTAAAAATTAGAATATTCCAACATTTGATTCCAATATTTTATCATTTACGTAAGTAAACATTTGAATATCCCAATATCTTTTTAAATAATCCACTGATTACTAAAAAAATTAAAAAGAAAATTGAATAAATTATAAATTATATAGTTTTAAAATGCTTCTACACCTGCATAATAATGAACTTTTAGTTATTTTCTTAACAGAAATACATTTTTGATTTCAATATTTTTGGAAAATTTTAATTTACATATATTTTAAAATGTTAAATAAATGATGAATGATTGTAAAATTATATAAACACTTGCAATATTTATGTAAAGTTGTCTTTTCATTTTATAGAATAATCGAAAGAATGGGACATTCATAGAAAAGGAAATGTCAACCGATGACGATGAATCATCGTCAGATGTGTCACCATCAAATAGTATGAGTTCAACAAAAACTACTGATACTTCCACTGAAGCAACAGCAAAATATAACTCAACAAAAATCATTCAGTATGATATTTATTTTACTCTTTACTCATTTTTAAATTTAAAATTTAAAAGTTAAATTTAAAAATTCCAAATAATACCCATATTTGTAGCACAATTTACATATATGATTTTTCATTTCTTTAAAACAATATCAAAATAATTTTTTATCGTATGAAATAATTTTATGCATAATGGATAATTACTTAATTTGATCAACAAGAGTGTACAAAATATGCAAATTAATCAGAATATGTATTCATTTAGCATTGAATATTTGAGGATTAAAATTTGAATAAAAATTTAATTCCAATTATTAATTAATGATTTATTTGTTTATCTAGAAGATATGAAATTATTGTTGTTTACAGAAATGAAATCGCAAATCATTCCGACAATCAACTGATAACTTCATTACCTAAAAGGACAACTCATACAAGTAAATGGATAAGAAGTGATATGATACAAAATGATAGCTATGTTAACACTCAACAAAATTCAAACTTTGAACGAAGCAAATTACAGCAACCAGATTCAGTTCCTGAATCGAATTCCATTTCACGAACTTCTCCGGTCCGGCATACGCTATCATCATCGTCATCATCATTCACTCAAACAAATCGTTCTTTGTCAAATGAAAATATCGAGGAAAAGTTAGTCATTTGCATTAATTATAAAATTCGTCTATAATTGGCTTTAATTATGAAAAATTTTTGATGCATTTATTTTTTGATTCACCTGCAATTGCATAAATTTGAATTTCAACTTTTAATTAGTCAAAATTTCTGTTTTATTCTTAGTTTTTTTCTTTTTTTTTTTCAAAAGAAATTTTTTTATGAAATCTAAAGTAACATTGAAATAAGAGTATTCAATTTATAGATGAAATTTACTAATTTATTATTCACAAACTTATCCATCCTCAGTGCTAACGTAATCACTAATTTTATGAACTACCTCCGATCAATTTTAATAACCTTACAAGTAATTAAAAAAGATAGCAATTTTAAAATCTGATATATATATATATATTTGCAGCAAATATCAGTATGCAAATTCGGTACATTCATCTGACTTCGAAATACCTTCTTACCTAAATACTATCCCTAAATCATCCTACAGGTACGATGTTTACTTGAGTGCTGTCAATTATTCCGAAATTAAAATTTTATTCTCAATAATATTCGATTACTGGAAAGACTAGAAAAATTCGAAATCGAATAGAACAAAAATTAAGATGAAACTTTTTACACAGTTGAATGTTCTTTTTTTTTTTTTCATACAACTTTTTTCGAAAATTACAAAATGTCAAATTAATTTATAGAGTCAATTCTTTTTTAAAGTCTTAAGCATGAAAGAATCCATTTAGGCTTATTTATTTTGCTAATGAAGAAAATCCTATACTTTATAGACAAAGCTGACTAATTAAATCTCAGAATTGAACAATTTAAACTAAATTAAAATTATTTTAACAATAATTTCCTTTTTGCAGTCAACAATTCACTTATGAGACATCACAAGAATGGATATGTCCACAACAAATCAATGATATCAAGAAATGGTCACCATTATTAATACAAGAAAGAACAAATAGCACACAAACTCATACAAATTCGAAATTAACACAACACTTCAGGATTCTACCGGAAAATGTAAAAACTCATACAAATAGTAATAATAGTATATATTCCGAATCAACACAAACCAATAGGATTCTACCAATATATCAATTAGAAAATATACCAAAGAGATTTTCAAGTGAGACTAATGCAGTCAAATACATGTCGAAATCATTTCATCAAATTGATGAAACCGCAAAAATTTCATCAATTCATCAATCACAAAAATATCCATGTATTCATTCAATACCAAGTGAAACAACAAGTGCATCAGATGCATCTAGAACATATTGTATGGATTTTCAAACATCTCTACCATATAAATCTACTGAAAATGAACAAATTAGTAAATCTGAACAGTGTATCGAATCGTATCCAAGAACGAATGTACAATTTATTCATTCAGAATTATCATCAGAAATAGCACAAACAGAAGAATCAAGTTTAATGGAAGGTTTGAAAATGAAAATAGTACTGATACCAAGACATTATCAATTATCACATAATGATACTACAGAAGATGAAGAATGCTACAGTGATCAAAAAATTGATCAATACGAAAGCATATCATCTTTTAATTCATCAGCAACAAGCATAACTTATGAAAGTATCCATGATTTAGCAACATTTAAATCATAATAGCATTATCCTTTTTTTTTTTTTTATTTATCTCATCAGTGAATTTGAAATGATTGTTGACTGGCAAATATTGATTAGCAATATTAATTGTTTGCTAAAAAAAAAAAAAAAAAATCAACTATATAAATATTTAATATTATTTAAAAGTGAATGTTGAAGATGAAATCATGAAATATTTTAAGACTGATCAATTTGTCGTATTGCTAATCAATGCTAATAATTTTTATAGTAGTGCAATTGTGGGAAATGTTATGGAAGATTATTTTAACAAAGCTTAAAAATTATCATATCATTGTCATCTCGTATTTCTCATTTACTATCAAAGCATTTCTTTAAAAAGAAAGAAAGTGAAGAAATAAATAAGTTATATTTGTTGTTGATTACTGTTTCTTCATATGACAATATTTTATTCATATATCCATTATAAATATGTAATTTACATTTGTATACCAGTGAATAAATATTATGAACAAAACAGAGAAATTTCACAAAAATGAAAGAGATATCATGAAGAAAGGAATTACAAAAAGGAAAACAAGTGTTATCCAATCGCAGAAACATTTTTAGAATTGATAGAGAATTGCCATAAATCAACTTCTATGTCTACTGATTGTCGTCGATGATATGAGTATGTTGCGGGTAAATTCCAACGTAGTTGTGCAATGCAGTCAGCACTAATATCGGGTAACTTTTGGGCAACGAATTTAACAATATATTGTCTTGTACTACTTTTATGCAACGAGAAAAGTTTTCCATTTTTCTTTAGAATCGATAAACCTGCTTTGACAAATCGTAAATCCATGCCTGAAATCATGAATAAAAAATGACTATTTTCATTATCATTTCATTATTCTTATTCAATGATCTCCCTTTTTGAAGATCCCATCAATAATAAGAAACATAAAAATCAATTTTTAAGCTTTTTAAAAGCCAATTTCTAGTTTAAATTAAGTAACTATTCTGGTAGTGTATATGGTGATAATAAAATAACGTAAAATTAATAAAAATTATTTAATCTAATAAAAACTTTCTCAAAGTCTTACAGCAGTAAAAATAAATTTCATATATATCATTGCAGTCACCTACAGCTCGATTTAGAACTTTCTTACCCGAAGCAGTTAATGTTAGCCATTAATTGCCGCAAGAAAAAAAAAAAACAATATAAGTATAACTTAATTATTATCAAAAATACATTAAATGACCAATTCTGATAATCTCTAGCAATAAAATATTATAGTAAAAAAGTATATTCAATATAGTTAAGTTATACATTAAAAAATTACCTGCGTTATTTTTGGTACCAAACGGTGGATTCATGATAACAGTATCAAAAATAGGCTTTAAAGCACTGATATTCTTTGTAACATCCAAACAGATCACATCAACAACATTACCCAAATCACAGCGCTCAATATTATTTCGACAAATATTGATTGCTTCTTCATCAATTTCAATACCTAATCCATAACTGAAAATGTCTAAATTGTATTTTTCTTAATAATATTTTCCATTTTTTTTTTCTTCATAATTATAACTTGTTTGAGATATCTGTACCATTCCTATATCTTACATGTAACTAGTTTTTTTCAACTTTTATATAGACTACTTTATTTTTAGATTTTCAAATTTATGTATAAATATACCTTGCACCAAGTTTAACAGCTCCTAGAAGTAATATACCAGGACCACAACCCAAATCCGCAACAGTGCAACCGTCCATACATCCTTCCTCTGCGACCGCATTCAATATTGCTTCTGAAAAAAAAACAAAAACAAATTATCAGTTTCAATTTCAATTGAATTTGCAGAATTACAAGCATAAGATTTCCGATATAATCTGAATTTCTTTTTTTTTTTTTTTTTTCAACGATGAACATGCCCATGCTGCTATGAATCCGTAATTGAGATGCTAGAACTTTCAAAGAAAAACCGGAAATTCTATTTGTCAATCAACCCGACGGTTAATATTATCAATGAAGTAATATAGGTGAAGATATCTGTGATCATAATTTCGAGATTTAATTTTTTGCAATGCATTAAGCTATTCAATTAAAGTATTATGAAAAATAATAATATCTCAAAGCATATACTAAAGTATAGAAAATATCCCTCAAAATAAAATGACATGTGACATGAAACATTGATTTAAACAGTATCAGTTGTTCACCAAAATAGCTTTTCTGGTTCATAAAGATAAATAAAAGTATATGTTAGCAAAATTTTCAACCGTATAAATAAACATTTATGAACTGTCCCAAATGACAAAAATTAAGGTGACAAGAGACAACAAAATTCTCAAATAACCCAATTTTTTTTAATCATCTAATAAAATAAATAATGCCTACCTGCGAGTTCAACACTGGTTGAGTATTGCTCCAATTGCAGTTTGAAATTTTGAAATGTTTCAATTTGCGACAGGAAACATTCCAAATGTTTCTTTTTCATATTTTAATAATGATTAATGAGCATCTGTCACGAAATAAACTCCTAGAATTTTGAATTAATAATTTTAAGAAAATGCATTTATAAATTGCATTATCGTTCACATAAACTAAACGGGAACAAGATTAAAGTACAGTTTTATTTATTATTTCTTTCTTCAAAGAATTCATATTAAAAATTCTTAATTCATATTTCTATCAATTTTTGAAACATATAAAATTTAAACAACAGTATCTTTACTTTCTCTAAAGCTATTCATAATTCTCAAGACCAAACAATTTGCAAATACTTTCTCTTTTGGCCTTTTAACTTAAGAAGTCATCTTAATGCCTAACCATTGCAAATGAACGGTGCAATGATAGTTTAAACTATTTTATCAACTACAATCAAAAGATGCAAGAAAGACATTTTAGTTGGAAATTTTAATTATCTTTAACGAAGTCTGACAAATATTAGACATTGACATTAAAAATTAATTAGATTACAAAAAAACTCTTTGCCGAGGAAATTAAAAAGAAACATGTATTGAAAATCAAAAAAAAAAAAAAAAAAATCAAGCGAAATAACGCGAAATGAAAGATTTTAATGTATTATATAATTCATAATGAAATGAAAGTGTATTTCAAGTGTGTATTTAAATTAAAATACATTGTAAACAACACACAAATATTAACTGAGTTTAAAATTTTTAGCAAAAGTAAAATGAGCATTTACTGGATCAACCACTTTATCAATCCATAATGCACACTTTTGTTTTGTTTTGTTTTTTTTTGCTATCACAACCATTTCCAACAACAATAACAACAACAATAATAATAATAGTAAGAGCAAAATGCAGCAGTATGATACAGAAAGAATAAAATAGAGAATTTCAATTTTAGAAAATTTCGTATTATCATTGTTAAGATAATATGTAGGATTCACGAAATGAAAGACATATTGTACTGACTGGTTGTAAAACTACACTAGCATAAGTTTAGCTAAACAAAAGCCTTATTTCCCAACTGTCTAATATAAATTCCAAGATAAAGTATCTAAAAAAAAAATCTAAAAAAGAAACAGAAAAATAAAAAAAAACTATCGCAAAGGAAGAAAAAACAAAGAAAGCAAATGTTAGAATACTTTCAAAAAATACTCCTTCACTCTTTTAATCTTTCCATTTCATCCTGTTTCACTATGAATTTTCCAGGAAACAGGAAAAACAAAGAGGAAAGAAGATGAAATACACAAATAAGACCCAAAGAATATAATTTAAAAAACAAATATATAGAATGTATGATAATAGAATGTAAATAGAAAGTTGGAATGCAGAAAAATTTAGGATCTAAAAAAAAAAAAAAAAAAAAAAAACAACCATTACATGAATATTGTAATGGTTGTATACTGACTACATAGCTATAAAACAAAAAATATTAAAATAGCATCATAGCAACTCTATATTTTTCAAAAAATATACATCAGAATAACTATGTACAAATAGCCCACAAAAATTATAATTCACCGTAAGAAAAAAAAAAAAAAGAAAGTGCGTACAAGAAAAAAAAAAAAAAATCCCAGCTAAGTTTGACATTTCAAGAGATAATGAAATCACAAAAAGGAAATAAGAGGTGAAATGATTATGAAAGGCAATGACAATGAAAAGCTCATAATTTTAATTCTTGAATCCTAATAATTTTTGAAATATTAATGAAAAATTCATTTTTTATTTGTCCAGTGATTTTTTTATTTCAAAATTCATGTAAAAAATGAAATTTCTTATTGCTTTCATCATGTTCAATTTCATAACATATTTTAAGAAATTGTTATAAATATAGAGAATATATAGCAAATTTTCAAAGATGGAAATAAGGAACATTTCAAAACTAACTATTGAAGTAAATTATTGCTAAAAAGACTTGGTACTTTCTTGGAATCCTAACTTCCCTTAAAGTGACTACATTTTTTGTAAATGAAGAAATTAAGGCACAGTATCAATCAAAATTATCTACGAGAGACGGATGATTGTTGCTGCGGCTGCATTGATGGAAATCGTCTGAACTCTTTCAAAAGATATTCTACTGTTTGTCCTTGCATAATCATATTATAGGCAAGATGCGAATTGCTTTGAACACCGGTTGGTTTTTCTTTTAATTTTTTATTAGTAGCTTTTCCTTTTTTCGAATTATTTCCTTTTTTGTTATCACTACTAATCTCGTTAGTGCCACTGCTGAAGAGAGATGGACCAAACATAATTGCTAAATTGTGAATTTCCATCCGATTTTTATCTGCATGATTTGCAACTCTAAAAATATCAAGATACTTTAAAAAAAAAACTTGAAATCAGTTATAATCTAATTAATGAATGATACAAATGCATAAATATTACAACTTCTGAGTGATTTCCTCAACGAGTGATCCCTGGTTAGTAAATAAAGTTTCAATACTCTAAAATGCATGCTACAACATAAATGATATGTAAAATGGTGTTAAACTCGTGCTATTGCAATTCAAGCATATTTTTAACTCAGGTAATACTATTTTAACTATACTTTGCTAAGAAAAGGAAAAGAAAATTGAATCACCGTATAAGATGTCCGAAAAGAACCTTGAGCGTTTCTCGATTAATCAACGGTAGTTTATTTAATAAATCATCAAATGCTTTTAATTTTCCTTCTCCTTTAGGTAGTCCTGAATTTCACATTTGAGTGAATCAGTAAAAGATGATGGTGGAAAGAAATATCTATAACTCATAACTGTAACAGATAACTTACGGTTGGCGTAAATGAAATCCTTAGCCAGATTAGATGGAAAAATTGGCTCTGATAATTCACGAAAGAACAGCTTTAAAGCTCCTGTTAAAACATGAACATCATCTTCTGCCAATAAAGCAACATATTTTTCTGAAATTTTAATGCTTAATGAATTATGCATTTTCATTAGGTCATTCTCTATCGAAATACTTAACTATGCAGAAATAACAATAAATAAGCAGTACTAAAACAATGTACGGCTTTTAAAAAGGATACGATAAAACTTATACTTCAATTTATAGCAATTACCTTGATCAACCTGACATCGAATCCTTTGAATTGATGAAAGATTACCACTAACTCGGTAAAGACCATCTGTATCGAGACCTTTCGATTCGACTACTTCTGTAACCAGTTGAATGAAACGTGGAACTGTCGTCTGTTCATGATGACAAATAGCAGCCAACGTACTTCCGAAAACAGGTTCCGCTATAAAATATAATACAAGAAGCTTTGGAACATTTATATCTAATTAAGCTTAAAATTTAGAGTGATTACATCTCTATAATATAAAGATTGAAGTACTGTTCCACAATATTTGGAGCATTATCCATCATTGTTATTATCATCACTTATATAAAGAGCTAAGTGAATGCTTAGAATATCATATGCCCCTTCCTCAACTTATATGGTCATTAAAAATTGATCAATGGTGAACGATTTAGTCTATCAAAGAAAAGGTCATCATAAAATTTAGTCCAGATTATTAGGTATATCACAAAGGATGAGTAGCTGTGTTTTAGCTGCTGTTATAATTTCAACAGTACATCACTGTTTGTAATATCAAATTCACCTACATATATATACAAAACATAAATTAAAAAAAAAAAAGTAAATAAATGATATAAATAGTAGAAAATACTAACGCTTATAAATGCCTTTCTCCTTCAAACTTTCTATGGATGGTCGTGATCGAAAAAACCGTTTTAATTTCTCAATGATAGATTCACGTGTTAGCCTTGCTTCTTCAATATCAATACGCTTTTTTTCATCACCTGTTACCGCAACCTCAGAACCTAAAATAACAGGATAAAATGGACAAAAAATATTTATATGTGTCTTTCAGGAAACTTTTTCAAAAAATTTCGATTTTTAGTATGCATCAAAATTTAACCTTTTCCTGAGATTTTTGATTTTTTAAAAGAACGTCGAGTTTGTCCGATACTAAGTGACCTTGAGGAATGTGACAAATTGCTTGGATTTCGTATTAAACCAGTGGAAGTTAAACCTCTCTCTAAAACCGGTGTTGGATACGCATCAGGAAGTGGCTAAAAAGTTAGCATCCCATTAATCATGAATGAAAGTCAACAATGAAAATTTTCAGCCACTATATATCTCATATATTTTTTAAATTCTATATTAAAACTAAAAGCAATCCACATAACATTTTTACTTCGGCAGGCATTTAGCAAGGCTCAACACAACGAAACTATAACTGATCAATTTAATTACTGTGCTAATATGACAGATATGGAAAATATTCAAGTGAAAAAAAGAAAAAAAAAGGCAATCCATTTTAGAAAAACTTTAGACGTACCAATTTTGATACGACTTGACGCATTGCATGGAACCATCCATTCACATCCTGCGTATCTGATGTACTGAAGTAATAAATCGTACCATCTGTTAGTCCAAGCTTTAATATCATACAGTTATTTGATTTGTGATATGTTGAAAATTCAAGTCGTACATGATGATAAATTGGCACCTCACTAAGACGAATGCATAAGAAGCAAGAAATCAATGTTCGTGAAATTGTTTTGTAAACTGCTCGAAAAATAAGGGGGAAATGGAAGCAGATGGCAACGAAAGCATATATACTTACTTGAAAAATGTGTTTCCTACGTTTATCTTTTTCATTCGCCCATTTTACGCATGCACCTCGAAGATCACACATACCCAATGGTGCCTCATAATGACGACCTGATTTCTATAAAATCATTTCAATGAAATCAATTCATGTTATGCAACAGTTTGTTCCAGACATTTATTTAGATGCCCGATTAAAAATTTTATATTTGCATAAACAAAAAAGCTTACTTCGGCACTTCGTTCATCTTTGTAAAATATAATATGAGCTGAAGAAAGAAAAAGATAACAGGATGTCCATTCTTTCTTTTTAAGTCGTATTCCTGCATCTGCTATTTTACACTGAAAAATTTACTGAGTTAATGTAAAATAAAAAAAGCATTTTGTAAATAGCACAAAGAGAGA